ATAGGGATAAACCCCAGATGTTGAATATAAATAATATAACTCTAATTTGTACAACTTTTAAAAATTTTCAATGTCAAAAATATTCATTCATGTTTAGAGTCTCCTTAACTGAAACAATTTCTAAACCTTTTTTTTTCTTGGAAGGGGGGTAGGAGGGAGGAAATATTGTGTTATTTTTTTTATTAAAATTTCTGTAAACTTCATGAAATCAATACCACTGTATTAAATATGTTAAGGTAGGTCGCGGGTTTACTGCATAAAAATTTTTATGAGAAAACATATCCTGAAAAATGTTCCTTGAAATTTACAGCGTATTATCTACAATTTTTATGAAATTTGCCTACGTAGTTTTAATGCTATATTACTTGAAACGCGGTATTGTTGTTAGTACTTTTTTTACGCTTTACTATTGAAATGTATGGGAAAATGACGTTTTTAAGACAATTTTGTGAAAATAGTTTCTTTTAAAAAGGTTGGATAACTTTTTAAAGACGTAGGCGAATTAGTCAGGAATTTCAAAATGTCAAGATGAGGTAAAATTAAAACTATTGATATAAAAAAATCAATATGTCTTCTCGCTAGATTTTTCGCTATATAATTTCAAAGTTTGTTTTTATATTGCTAAAATGTTGCGTTTATGGCGTTATTTATGTCTACAACGTCATTTGTTGAACGCAGTTCACGTTTAAAGTACGAGTATAAATATCTTGACATTTGGAATAAGAGAGCTTTAGAAGGTGACATCAATGCAAATTTTAATTTTATTCATCATTTAACTTATTGCAGAGAGCTACTAGGAAGAGCAGCAACTTACTAGTCTTTTCACTAGTATTGTGAAATTCATATTCTGCTCACAAAGTATGAATGAACAGTATAAACATTCCTCGTGCATGAGAATTAACATGCAGCGACAACGCAAGTGATAAATATTAGTTCCTCTATTTTTAGTAAATTCATGGTCAATAGGATTTCAGTCTTAACACATAAATTTGATCACTTTATTCGACCGTGACGAAAAAACATCCAGAAACTGGGGAAATTAGCAGGGGGGGGGGGGGGTTACTTGCAATGTTCTTCTATATTAGTCGCAAGCCAGTATATGGGCCTAACACTCAAACATTTGTTAATTTCGAATTCTCTTATTCAAATTTCCATGCGCAAAATGTAAAGCACTTGCATTTAGCTTTTACACTTAGAGCTTTTGTTTTAATTTTTTCTAAATATAGAAAAAAAAAATACTTGTGAATTGTTACAGTGTCATATAGATCTTATGGTCCAGGTGTTAGAATAAATTTGTTAAATACATGATAACCAAATAATAAAAATGATGATAATAATGAAAAAAAAAAACCCAGGAAAATACATATTATTAACTTTAACGCGTTTGTAGTGTTGATTGATTCCATCCTAAAATAATACGCTTATTTTCGCCCCCGGTTTGATTGCCAATCGTGCTGCAGTACGTATGTTCCCCTGATTTGCAAATAACGTGCGAAAATACAACCTCTCATGCAAGTTTACGCTAAACAATTTTTATTTATGATAACTTTTTTCTGCATACCGTAACTTTATGCCGACTTATTCTGATTGACTTTTAGCAGTTTGGTAACACTTACAATATAAATCATTCCTTTCATTTGGTATTTTATTTAATTTGTCTTAAGACATTACTTATAATTACATCAGAATTCAGACTGAAATTCAATTATAAAACATGTACGAGGTTTGCGTACAATAGCATGCACAGTATACTTGATTCGTACAGACTTGAAGTCATTTGCAGAGAATAAAACGGGAAACAACGCAACGTTGCCTTTGTGACGTAACTGACGTCATAATCAAATGTGCACAAAACAGCCGCTCGAATCGTCGAAATTGTGTACCAAAATTGATGACAAAAGCAAACCCGCGACCTACCTTAAGGAATAAGAATTTTTTATATGTACAAAAACTTACATGTACTTATACAATCCATCCCAAAAGCAAATGGTTTGTTAAGACAAATAATTTTTAAGGGTGTATACATGTGTATTTTGTATATGTTAGCTTCATTTTCTGGTGCTTATAATCATGTATGTTTTGTTTTTGTTTTTTTTCTTTGCATTTTATACAAGTTTTTAGTGGTTTTTAGTGTTATGGTAATGTTTGTATGTACCAGTATTTCTTCATTTGAAAGCTTACCAACAATATTTTTCTTATCATATGTCTCTCTCAAAGATTGTGCCTACTTGTACTTCATGGAATCTTAAAGTTCTTAATTCTTCATTCATATGCATGTAATGCACAGAAATGTTCATGCTAGTAGAATTATTAGGGAAAAAATATAATTTTTTGCTTGTGGATACATTTATAATAATGCATGTGCTTTATTTCTGTAAAGTGATTCATTATGTCTTTTTTACAATTGATGCGCAGAAGCAAAAGCTAGAGAAGGGATGAATCAAATTCTGCTTAATTAATTTTTTTGAAGGATTTGTTTTTTCTATTGAATTTTGAACAAAAATATTTTTTTTTTCAAAATATCTGCATTTCACACTTTTATGATTCCATTACAGACACTATGAAATATCATTTAGTGGAAAATGTAAAGATTTATTGTTGCAATTTTGAATTTAGTATATTACATGCAACACAAATTTAATCACGCTCTCTCTTTTTAAAAAATCTTTTTTGTTAATTATTGGGGAGGGGGAACCAAACATTTCAATTAAACATAAAATGTTATATGAACATTTCCACTTTCAGGACTTTAAAAATATATGTATTTTAAATAGAAGTGATTGATAGAAATCACTAGGTACAGCTCCTTTTCAATAAAGTGGACAGTTCCATGTATGTTTCAAAATCTTTTTCTGTTTTATCTACATTAAATATATAAGTTTTTGCCATGACATTTCATTTTTTTACTGAAGCTCGGTTTTAGGGTATTTAAGAAGTTTTGTAAAAAAGAAACAAAACATTCAAATCAGTTTTTCCATTCTTTAAAACTGAGTATGAAATGGGGTATATAGAATGTTTTGCTTTAGAAGCACTTGTCTACCTCCATTCTGAAAAGAAAAGAAAAGAAATTTATAGATCAAGGAACATTCATCTGGCCCCGGGATCATGAAGCATCTTAAGCTTAAGTCAAAAAATGTCTTAGATGCTGAAATTTCTTTAGAGGTCAAGCAGCCCAAAATGAAAATGCTCTCCGATTTTGTATCATCAGTCTGCTGTTGTATGCAAATTATGAGTTTCCTTTAACAAGTTTTAAAGATTTTATAGTAATTTGAAATTTTGACTTAAGTCGAAGTCTGTTTCATGATCCCGGGGCCTGGTCCATAAACTGCAGCTTTGATATATTTTCCTAGAAAGAGTTTATGTTAAAACTGTGTGATTACGGAACATAATTCTTTGTTTCATTTGTTTGTTTTTGTTGGTTGACATTTTGTACTTTCATAATTTACCTTAAAGAGGAGCTTTATATATTGACATAATTTTCCCCCTGTGCGCCAGGGCTTAGCTTTATTCTTAAGCATATGTACTGTAATCAGTTTCAAAAGCTACTTTTATACTGTGTTTTTTCTACTATACCAGAAGTGTTATCATTTTTTTTTGACAGCTAAAGGCAAGCTTTACCTTTACTTAAGGACCATGTCAAATGTGTTTCCTATAGTACTGAAAACTGCTCCATTGTTCAATTGTAAAATAACAAAGTAAAATGTTTAATTTCAGGATTTGCAGTTACAAAAACTGATTTAATCATACTTTTTTTGGTTAAAAATTAAGTACACATTTTATACTGCTAAAATCATATACAGTATTTTAAAAAGTTCATACAAAGATGCAGATTTCCCTCTGATAATTTCAGTAATGATGAATAGAAGACACATTTGACCTGGTATTTTTTTTACTTTGCTGTTGTATGTTAGTTATAGTCTTTTATTGCTATATTGGTTACTATGGCAGCATGTTGTAATCTGTTATATTACTGCTGGATAATAAAATTGAATTTACCAATGTCTTTTGCAATGGTTCATTAAAAGAAATTGATAAATGATAATGATATGAGACTTAGTTCAGGGTCTTATGGATGCAATGGTTTATGTCACCTTTAAATTGTGTAGTCTGTTCATTAATGACCATGATGTAAAATTTTTACATTTTGAAAGTCCCTTGTTCTGGTGCAGAAGTTTCTTGTATGGCCAAGATATAAACAGTTCTTGAAAGTTAAACTGAATTCGGTCCTACGGTATAAAAAAAATCTTAGTACACTGTGTATTACATATCTTCGCTAGCCAAAGATTTCTGATTTGCTACTTTCCTCTGAGACGTTATGGTCAAAGACTAATATATGAAACCATAACGATACAGTTCTGCAGCTAGCACTGGAAAAGGTCACATGTAAAATGCTGTAATATATATTATATATATATATATATATATATATATATATATATATATATATATATATATATATATATATATATATATATATATATATATATATATATATATATATATATATATATATATATATATATATATACACACACACACACACACCCTCTCTCACCCTCACACACACACACACACACACACAAAGGCTGCAGCTTTAAATAAGTCCAAGCGATTGAAGAAGTACTATAGTAGGTCAAACTGAGGCCTTGAGGTTGTGATAGTAGTGATGTCTATGATGATGTACATATGAACTGTGAAAGCCCATCCTTCTCTCGTGCAAAATTTTACCATATTAAATTTTATGAAAATTATGCCAAAACGTCCAAGGTCAGAGAGTAAAAAAAAAAAAAAAAGAATCGTAAAGGCCTTGACACAGGTAATAATAATTTATCATTATCAATCCCTTAAAAATTCAACGAAGGCTGGTTCCAAGTCGACTTCATATTTATAAAACATATCCACAAAAACTAAATATCCTTTACACCGCTTTATTAAGTAATAAATGAAACATTAATAACAAGCATCATAACAATATATCACAGCTTCTTAAATCTTCGTCACGAAAAATGTCGAATTTTTATTTTCATTATGGAGCGAAATTCCTTCTGTGGTGTTCTTATGATAAATAAGACAATAGCGAAAATCCACAATGAAAATAAAATCTTTTCCAGAAGACTTCATTCATTTTTCCTTTCACTCGCAGAAGTAACGAACATAATAGATTTTAAGATTGAAATCTTACTGAAAGGAGAAGCATTCACCAATAGCTTGGATGCCAAAGACAACTGCAAAAGATCTCCATCCTTGGACAGCCTTTGGTGGAACATGTATCATTTTTGCCGATCCAAATCCACTCTGTATTATAGCGTCATAAATAGCATTGGTGCAGAAAGATTTTCCGTCAACATTATCGGTGTATCCTGGTGGAGGGGCACCATTAAGTGTAGTATGACGTAACTGCATGGCAATTGCAAATTTATTATAACGATGATTTGTATAGGCTACTTTGCTGACAATTTCTGCATTACCACCTTCCCCTGTCGTAATACAGAGGTTTCTACGCGTCTTTCCATAATGATTTGAATGACAGTCAAGCATATCTAAGGAGTTTTCAGATATTCTTTTGGTAGGACCCTACAAATGGAAACTTTGTATTTAGTGGTTTCTTTTTATGAATACTCTCATAATTCGCGATGCAAAGTTTTAATATAAAGCGTTTAAATACATTATATGTATATTAAGTACGCTTGATTTATAAAACAATGTGTAGTTTACAGCCAAAACTCAAAATTAATTACTAGTAACCAAACCCTCATCTAGGGTAAACCTTTACTATTAATTTGAGTTGATCTATCGATACAGAAATCTTGTTGAATTAATTTTTGTGTTTGTTAATCAGTGTTAATCAGTGATGTCATGACAATAATGCATACTTTTGCTCTCATGTGTCAATCAGTACGAGCATTTGCATGCGTTTTGTATGTTATTACGTGTGTCATTACGATTATGCAAAAAGAAGTATTTCAAACAGACACTGATATAAAGTGATCAATAGTAGAGTTCACTACATACATTATTCATTTGCATTTGCAGACTTGCGGTAAAGTGAATCAGATTGACTATACATTCATGGGAATTATATGTCTATCACTATGCCTATCCAAAAACAAGAAATCTATCTTTTTAGTTTATATGATGCCTTTTTCGGTACATGGACAAGAATATATGTATGTTTTGACAAAATAAGAATACCTTGTATGTGATAAAGTTAATGCAATTTTTGTTATCATTGTATAAGTTGGAATCAATATCTTACCATTTGTGCAAAACTGTTTCGTTTCAACACCTTTATTGCTTCAGATGCAACTCTGTTCCTCGGCGCCCAACGTGTCAAATTCATTAGCTTCATTGAATATTGGCATCCAGGAATCTGACAATGGAGTGTCCCCCCATCTCCTCGTTTGTTGTTTAGGGGGAACTTCATCCGCCACTCCCTTGCAGTTTTATCCCTCAGCTGAATCAAACACTCCTCACAGAACGTGTGACCGCATGGCAAAATCCGAGGCTTCCGGAAAAGGTGATGACAAATATGACATCGTAGAACCGCATCGTAATCAAGAAAATCATCGGCTTCGTCGCTCTCCTCGACATTTGATCCTCCGTTGTCGCTCATCCCCCGGGCAAGAGTCAAGATCCTCCAATTCATTCAATAATTTCCAGATCTCTATAAGTATTAAGACACGGGATCAATTCCCTCCCATTGTTGCAGACTCCAGTCTAGGTAACCGGTTGTATAATATCGATCGTCTGTTCAGCATCAGCAGCTGATATAGCTGCATCATATTTACTGATCCATCTTCAATGCGTGGAAGGAAATGCTACGTTACCTTAATAATATACCTTTTATCGATGTTTGATTAATATGGAGTTTACTTAATTAATGGTAAATACCATTATGCTACACACTTTTTGTACATTCTGATCAATAGGTTGGAATGTATCAATTGAATGAGCTGTAGTCTAGTGATGGAGTAACTTTCTGAGCAGATTGAGGAATTTTTTTATGTTTCCCGAGCAACAAAGCTTTCGGTGTGGGTGGGGATGGGGAGGTGGGGGTAGCATATGATCCATCGTGTGAATTTATCTGCAAGACACTGATATAAAAGTTGAACCAGTTCTGCGTCATACTGATAATATGGTTCAATGCTATTATACGTATGTAGCATTCCCGCACACATTTTTCTAAAAATGTGACGCAACAAAAGAATAATTTAAATCCATAACTTAACTTTCTTTTATTAAAAAAAATGTAAAACAGAAACTCTGAATTAATTAATTAATCAGCAATTGTTCAAATAGTCTTCAAACTCCAAAGTGGCTTAAAACTTTATTTTCCCTTTTTTCTTTCAGTAAACCATCATATTGGACGTATTTATGTCTTCTTGAAAATTCCTCCACGTTTGTCTCTCTGTTTATTAGACAGTGCTTCAGGTACAGGGCTAGGGTCACGTGAGACTGACGAAACACGGCAGGAATATCCTCGTAAAGCTTACCGCAAACTTCAAATAAATGCTTAAGAAGTTCCTGGACAAAAATAACAAAATGTTTGTGAAACCTTTATGACACAACTCTGTCAAGAATTGCTTGATCGTACCCCCTAACACCGTCTGAATACCAAATATCATTTCAGTAAGCACCTGAAAACTGCAAGTAATTGGATTTTTTTTACATGTATGTCCAAGGGGCATAAGCCGCATAACTCTGTCAAAAATTGATCGATTTGATTATGATAAATCTGTACATACAAAATTTCATTTCAGTGAAGTGCAATATCTGCAAAGAAAATGAACGGAAACTATTGGTGGACTGATCGACAGACAGACAGACCGACTAAAAGTCAGAAGCAGCAAAGCAATATGTCCTATACTTTCTAAAAAAAAACAACTGAAAAAAACAAACAAAAACAACAACTACAACTGAAAATGCACCTAGTCTTGAGAGAAAAAAATTGATTGATTTGAAAGTTGTTTAAAGTGATATATGGCGCATTTTTGATAAGTTCAGACTAACTAAAATTTAAAAAATCTTTCTATTTGTTTTGTTACTTTATATAAAGATAGAACTTTCCTGAAAATTACACAATTCAAATCAATAGCGTTTCATAGATATCGTAGATTTAAAACAATAACCGATATATTTCCGACAGAAATAAATATCAGACATAGATTAAAGTCAATTTAACTAATAGAAACGTAGAGGTATTTAAGTTCAAAATAGGTGAAAATTTAAATTTGAACGTAAATAACAAAAACCATGTAAATCTACGCTTAATTTCGATTTTTTTTTTAGCTGAGATACGCCATATATATAGTTTTAACGCCTCTTTCGAGAATTGTTCACTCATATCGATCGAGACGTCTCGAAAGAAAAGAAAATGCATGCAAAGTACTTGTAACTTTTTTAGGCAAAAACCAGTACTTTGTCAGCAATATCATTAAAGGGATATGAGGTCTCCTTAAGCCATGTGCGGAATTTTTTTCAGTTTGTCCGGGGTGGGGGGATCCTAATCCGACTTAGAAATTCTTCGACAAGCAATAAATTGATTTAAAGTATAACAATATAAATATCAAAATAAAATTAATTATCTAAAAAATACTTTAAAACATACCCTAAAAAATGGGAGGGGGGGGGGGTTCCTTGTTGTATGACTTCCCTTATCATGCACATGAGGAGAGCGCGCGTTTATAACAGGGATCCAATGTTATTTTTGACTTACTTTATCAAATATAAATCCATTTACTCTGAATAATCCAGGAGTGATTTGTTAATCAACTCTTTTATCAATACAATTGGGATTCAATAACTTCAACTCTTAATTCATATTTTAAAAGTCTTTAATGCTCTAAACGCTTTAAAAAATAATTTAAAACAAAAAAAAAACTTACCTTCATGGCCGTCCGGTTGGGCGTTATGTCAAGAAATTTTATTCTGTTGGATTTTATAATTCCTGTTTGAATAGCAATTTCTAAATCCTCTTTGGCTATATGAGTAGATGTTGCTGATGGCATCCGTAAACACGTTTTCAGAACCCTAAGATCTTTAAAATCGTTAATATAAGTAAAAGTTGGAAATTCGTCTTCATTTAAATTATTTTCACCCATTTCATCGTCGATCTTGAATGTTTTCAAGCGATGTAAACAAACACACGTGACAACACATTTATTACAGTTTCGCGGTTAGTTGCGTTTATTTGTTACGTCACCAACTATATATTATGACGTCATAATTTACCGACTTTCTGGGGAGATGAAATCGAAAGATAAAGAAAGCACAGAAATGGGAAAGAAAAGTAAAGATTCTGGTATCGAAAACAGAAATAAGACTCATAAACCAAACACGGTAAAGTATTATTATTTTGACAAAGACGGAAGGCAATTATCCGAGGAGACTGTGGAAAAACTGAAGATAAACGTAAAGGGTAACGTCGTATTATCCTCAGGATTGGCAGGGACTCGAACTGACGGAACCAACACGAATCCCACCTTATCCGAGAATGTAACATCAAGTGGCACCCAGAAAACGTCACTGCAGCAAGCAAACATGAAACCCGAAGCTTCTGTGAAGCCTGAAAAAACTCCATCCCCTAACTTTCAAGCCAGCCATAATGGACAAATTTATCTCGTTACCCCAGACGGTGGGTTAAGATCCGCAATAGGCAATCAAGAAATTAGAATTGGTGATGATGGCCAGGAACAGAGAAAAAGTATACCAAAAATTATGCCAGGTGACTTCAGATTATATGATTTCGGTCAATAGATTAGATAGTTGAAGATATAAAACGGAATAAAGACTCAGAAAAAAGGGGGTTTCGATACGGGTAGAAGAAAAAAAAATACAAATGATCTTTATAATTTAGGCCTATCTGTGAAATAAATTCATTACTTACAAATTTCAACCCTGAACTTCAAATCTTATCATAATGTCTCGCAATGAATTCTTGACATAATGAATTTCAATGTTGCAGAAGATGCAAATTTTTTCACCTTATTCATAAATTATTCTGAAAAAAAAAGCATAGGTCATGAATTTACCCTACTGTATTCGATTGTTATATTTTTTTTCTAAATCACAAAATTTTGGAAGTTTATAATAGTTTGGAATGAATAATTAAAAAAAAACTTTCTTTTATTAAAATTTACCGTAAAAGGAACAAAAATGGAACGTAGCATCGGAAAGGGGATAGGTGGGTTGGGTTGGGTTGAAGCAGTGTCCCAACTTTTTTCCAAACGTTACCTAAACTATACTAAAGATTCATTGAAAGGGCGACCCCCGGCACCTTTTTTGGTGTGAAAGATGATGACCCCACCCCCCATCCGCTAAGATTGATTGATTGATTGTATACTGTTTAACGTCCCTCTCCAGAATATTTCACTGATATGGAGACGTCACCATTGCCGGTGAAGGGCTGCAAATTTAGGCCTATGCTCGGCACTTACGGCCTTTGAGCAGGGAGGGATCTTTATCGTGCCACACCTGCTGTGACATGGGGCCTCGGTTTATACGGTCTCATCCGAAGGACCGCCACATTTAGTCGCCTTTTACGACAAGCAAGGGAGTACTGAGGACCTATTCTAACCCGGGTCCCCACGGGGTCCATCCGCTAAGAAATAGAATGGAAAAAAAATCGATTTTAGACAACGTTCCAGGAAGAGGGGGGTTGAACAAGAAAGTCTTTCCTTGGCTGCCCTAAATGTACCTTTGTATCACTCTCAAAAACGATGCTACGTCCCTGCAAAGTTCTGCGTGGTGTAATTACGATGTCATTTAATTAGGAAGCAATAGTTTTATCATACTCATGTTGAAATTACTGTTTCTACAGGGACAAATATAGAGTATCGCCAAAATGGTACAAACTATCTGAATAGAAATGGAAAGATAAAGCGTCCAATGAATGCATTCATGTTGTGGGCAAGGGAGTTTCGAGGGAAGCTAGCGGAGCGAATGCCGAACGCCTCCAATGCGGAGATCAGCGTGGGTCTTGGGCAGGTCTGGGCTAATCTTCCCGCGTCGGAGAAACAGTACTTTTACTTAGAGGCGGAGCGGATCAAAAATCAGCATAGGCGAGACTTTCCTGGTAAAGTATACTGCATAAATTAATTAAAAAATGTTGATGTATTGGATTTATAGTGTGTGTGGGTGAAGATTAAGAGCATCGAGCTAGGACTTTCCGACTTTAATATTTCTCATACCCCCCCCCCCTTCAAAAAAGGGAGGGAATATTGCTTTGCTGTTGTCTGTCGGTCGTTCGTTCGTAAGATCGGTCTGTCTGTCGGTCCACTGAGTTTCCGTTTATTATCTTCGCACAGGTTGCACATACTGAAATGAAATTTGGTATACATGCCCCTGGATCATGTATATACTTTTTAAAAAAGTCCAATTATTTGCAGTTTTCGTTCATTTTCTTCCCAGAGGTTGCACATACTGAAATGAAATTTGGTATACAGATTTAACAAAAATGTCTAGGTTAAGTTCTGTTTTGGGTACTGTCATTTTTGACATATTTTATCAAATAAAATCTGCTGTCTGCAACATGACTATTGAAAATACTCGGTACTATTACCAAACTTTTTAGCTTGGCGCTTCTAGAACTTTTTCACGACCAACGTAAAATTTTCTTCGTACATTACTTAATAACTTTGATATTTTGACTATACTGCAACGGAGAACAGGATCAGAACAAAACAAACAAAGAAAACAATTATTTTGTCAAAGTGTGAAGTGTTTCGCAATTTGATCATTCTTAATCGACTCTCTGGATCTTTTTAAAGGTTGGGTGTATCAGCCAAACATCACGAAGCGCCAGAACCAGAAAGATGCACAGCACACTCGATTGTGGCAAAGGTTTGTTAACAATAAAGAGGCAGCTAGTGGCAAAGAAACTGGAAATAAAGAATCGAAATATCGTCCGATTGCACCGGCAACCCAACAAGACGAGAAATCGGGTGACGACACCACTACATCAGAACCAAAGGTAGATGAGAGTAAGACGTCCAAAGAAACCGCTACATCTAAATTTTCCGAGAGCTTAGAAAATACACAGCCGAAGATTCAGGTGAAACCAACACAAAACTTAATGACGTTAGATCAACAAAAACAACAACAAGAATCTAAGATTGACGCTCAGACAATACAGTCTACGGTGAAGCAAGTTGTTGTTACATCGAGTTCTCAAGTACACAACCAGAACCCTATTCCATCCTTCCACCAATTCAAGCAAGAATTGATGTCCTCTGAAAAATTAAGAAACATTGCAACATATGTACAGAACCGTCCTGAAATACAACCAGGTATGAATTTTTCTAGAATAGTTGATCAAAAATATCTAATTTTACGAATAAATTTAGGTACATGACTAATTATTTTGCCCTTGAGTGAAATGCTTTGCCATTATTTTTAGGTGAAAGAACCACCAAAGCTCCTGCAACAAGCGGAAATGTTGCTCATCATATGGCTCCACTCACCACTGCTTCACAGAAGGTGCAACCAACAGGGGATTTCCATGGAGCTAAAGTGACCAATCAAATCGATCGACCTGGTCGTCCAAATTCAGTTGTCATGCAATACAGTATGTCCAAAAATATGCAGTCAGAATTAATGCTTTCAAGCTTAATATAAACAGAGTAAAAGTTTCCAATTTATATTTGTACATGTAGGTTATGAAGATAAATCAATTAACGAGTGACAGCTCTTTTCATATAAAAGGAAAATATCGAAATATATGTATTAATTCTAAAAGTACCAAAAATTGTTTATTGAAATTCTGATTTGAAACAATGATATCATTTCTACATTATATATAATTATGCAGACTACATACCAGGCTCAACGCCTATTTCTCTAATTCCAACGACGAGACCACTTGTTACACCAACAGTTGCTGAGGCAGCTGAGCCATTGACAAAGCATGGAAATCAACTAGGCAAACACACTCAACAACAGTTTCTGACTTTGGAAACACAGAAACCCCCGAACCATCAGTCATGGACCATGATGAATCAATCGGTCTCTCAGCAGAAGGGCCATGTAGCTGACCTGACGTCACAATCAAAGCAGACGACTAGGAACAAGCTCCAAAGGTTTAATTCTTCTGTATTTTGGATAGACTATTACATATTTTTATACCCCATGCAACAAGTTGCGGGAGGTAAAATGTTTTTGAGTGTGTCAGTCCTTTTTTTTTTTTTTTTTTTTTGTCAGCGCAGCTCCTTATAAACCGCTTCACAGAATTTCATCAAACTTTGCACATATTTAAGATACAATGTGTAGATGTGCATATTACCAGGAAATTGCAATTCCTTTATTTTTTCCGGGAATTTCGGCCCTTTTCAACTTAGAATTTAGGTCATACCTTGAATATAGGGATGAACAGTTTGTTAGCGCAACTACTCATAAACTGCCTCACAGAATTTGATCAAACTTTGCATATATTTAGGACACAATCTGTAAATGTGCATATTACCAGGAAAATTCCGATTCCTTTATTTTTTCTAGGAATTTCGGTACTTTTCAATTTAGAATTTTGGCCATATCTTGATTACAGAGACGAACAGTTTGTCAGCGCAACTCCTTTTAAACCGCTCGGCGCTGCACAGAATTTCGTCCGTCTTATCAGATACTGAGTATTTAGGACGTAATGTGTAGATGTGCATATTACCAAGAAATTCCAATTCCTTTATTTTTCCGGGAAATAGGCACTTTTCAACTTAGATTTTTGGCCATATCTTCATTAAAGAGATGAACAGTTTGTCAGCGCAACTCCTCTTCAAACCACTGCACAGAATATCTTCAAACTTAGCAGATATTTAGGACACATTGTGTAGATGTGAATATTACAAGGAAATTCCGATTCCTTTATTTTTTCCAGGAATTTCGGCACTTTTGAGTTTTGAGGGAGTGTGGGGTATGTGAAATTGCTCACTTATTCTTTCATTCTGAAGGTTGTAAAGGCTTGAACATTTTGTACCTTGATCTTTCCTTTGACCTTGACCTCACCTTATTTGTGTTTTAAAAATTTACAGAAAAGTGACCCAATAGCTTAATTTCAAAGAAACTTTAAATTTCAAACCATATTTACTTACACGTACTGATAAGAACTATTGAACTTCTTTCATATACTACAGTATTTTGACCTTCACTTTTATTTGACCTTGACCTCTTTTTTCTTTAATGTATGTTACTCATAAATACTCCTGATATTATTATCAAATTTCATTTGTTGATACATATTAATGAAAGATATTTAAGTGAATTAATTATTTTTCACCTCTATCTTCCCTTCGACCTTGTCCTTTATGATGTTAATTTCAAAGAATTTTTAAAATATTTTTATCAAACCTTATCTGTTTATGTATGTATACACATTGATCAGAGTTGTTATACTGCATCAACATTTTTGATCTTGCCTTTCTTTTAAGCTTGACTTCACTTACTTTATAAACAGTATTAAGCTCGGTTTCAATGAACGTCTTAAAATAAGCTCACTTTCAAAGAACTATTTAAGATATTTTAATCAAACTTGCATGCTGATACAAAATGGTGATAGCTTCACAAGCTTGTTGTTCTTTCCTTTGAAATTATCTTCAGAATGAAATTTATGTTTAGCTAAATTTCAAAGTAAAAGTCAAAGATATTTTATTATCAAACTTTTTAAGCTTATACACATTGATGACAGCTTTCCAATGACATATGCATTTTTTGTAATGACCTTTCTTTGACATTGACTTCAAATCTGTAGTAAGATTAGTTTCAAAGAAAGTATACAAGATAATTTTTTTCAAACTTTATCCAGAAACTGTTTACCTATCCATACTGATGAGTGACGAGAGATACACAATTGCATTAACATTTTTGACCTTGATCATTCCTTTTACCTTGAACTCTCTTTTATGTAATTTTTGGTCAGCTAAGTTTTCAAGAAACAAATCAAGGTATAATTATCAAACTTCATGCTGCTACATGTTGGGGAAAGATATTCAACTTCATTAACATTGTTGACCTTTCCTTTGACCTTGACCTCACATTTGTCAAATTTGGTGTAGCTCAAAGTATCTATTCCAGATATTATTTAATGTACGCTCTTGCACTGATACATTATTTGGTTAGTAATTATCAACTCTTTATTTTCACCAGTCTTGCCAATGAACTTTGACCTCTACTCTTTATTGTGTATACAACTCAGTTTTATTTTTAAAAAGAAAATTCAAAGTATTTTCTTCAAACTTCATACAATACAAATTTTCCTGTTGTACATTTACTTCTATTGGACCCACATCCTATAGATATAGTTCTATTATTTTTTATCTTGATAATTTCAGCAATTCCTCTGATCAACTTCACTTCCCAATAGCCATACCAAATTTACCCAACATGAATGGCAAGGCAGACCCTCTTTGGCCATTCCCTTTCCCACCTGTAGAACAAACACCTCAGACACATCTTTTGTATGAAGGTAAAAGTATCTTTAACTTCATTTTAACATTTTTTTATGACACTTGCAAAATTATACCACTTAAAAATGTTTGCTTGAAGATATCTGTCTTGAATGTGATTTTTTTTCAATATTATTTTTCTATAGGTACAGTGCCAGATACTGTTTACTCCAAAACAGATTTATCTGATCCATATGCTCCATTCTACTTTGACAATTACATCAATCAAATCCGGGCCACAGAGCTTCAAGTCGACGTTAACGGGTAAGTACCCAGTACTCATTAAGGTCCATGCCATAATCTCACTTACTTTATATGTGTACAGTAAAACACATTTATAATGAACACCCTTATAATAATAATCAATTGATAATAACTGAGCAAAGTGTTTTTCATTCATTGTTACTTTGAATCATATGTGAACTTAGTAAATATACCAAATTCTGTTGACGCATGATGAAGGAAAATGTATCTCAATAAGGTGACTTGTGACCATGTAAAAAAAAAAAAGCCCTTAATAATGACAATTTATACTTTTTCTTTTATTTAACAGATGGCAACAGTACTTAGATGATGGTCATAACAATGGAGCAGGTAAACAGAGCGTTAACTATTTCTCCAATGTTAAACAGTGCCCTAGTGATCTGGAAATCTGCCCCTCGCCAGCATCAAACACTCTAAGTAGAAATCAGGGCAGTAATACCAGTGCTTCAATGTGGCCTGCATCCTCTACAGCTAGTGGTAACAAACAGAACAAGTACTTGTCCCTAGAACTGGGCCATGACCAACAGGATGATTTAGTACTGTCTACAAAAACAACACCATCTTCTAGTTCAGTATCTCAAGATGGTACAACATTGCAACTTTCTACATCTGCTCAATGCCAGGAAACTCCAATGCAACAGACAGAAGTTATACAAGCTATGCAAAATACAGGGGACAAAAGTTCATTTGTGCCACAAGAACTAAGCTCAAAAGAAACTTCATCAGGAAATGGAAATGGGACCATGGTTAAAAACTTTGAAAACCGCAATGTCACCAGTATTCCTATGTATTATACGGATGACTCTGTTAACGTATGTGGACCCCCCACAATGCCAAAAAATCCTGAGAAGACAGGTGGCATCGAATTTGGTTCCATAATGTCAAATGCTGTAAATGCTCTTCATGGAGATTTGGAAGCTTACGAGTCCACAACTGTACCTGGATACAATGAGCCTGCTGTACCATATTTGTATCCACAGGCAGATGTGCAACCATTGTATGTTCAGCCTTCTGCATCAAATGATAATTTCCAAGTCTCCAAATATCAGGTTGAGAACAACAGACCAATCAAGAAACGTTCCTACAAAATCATTGAGGGATTATTGGAAAATGAAGTGTGGATGTCACAATTCCGTCCCAAGACGTCATCTTCTTCCATAAGCCAAACACAGTGCAGTGTGGAAATGACAGACGAATCAACTGTATCAAATAGAGAAGAAGCAACTGAATCAAACAGAGAAGAGCTGTTGGGAAAAAATAAAAATAAAACCAAAGATGTGCTGTTGGAGGACAAAGACAATAAAACAGAAGACCAGAATGAAAAGTCATTAGAGGATGATGAAACTACAGCTAAAGATCCAAACAGGGGTGAGATATTGGAGGATATTGACAAAGCAAAGAACCAAAACAGAGAGGATCTGCTAAAGGACAATGAAAATGCAACTGGTGATTTAAACAAAGAGGAGTTGTTGGAAGTCAATAAAACTAAAGAGGATCAATTACACAGTAGAAATCAGGGTGAAGATGGACAAATAAATGAAGAATCCAGTAAAATTGTATGTGATGGCAAAATAGAAATTAATCAGGAATGTAAGATAAATGATGCAAATAACAATGTAGCAGACACAAGTACCCTTATAACTGCAAGTTCTAACGAATCTGAAACAGTCACTGATGGGGACATTCCTTTGAATGAGGTTAAAGAAAAATCTGAGGCTAGAAATGAGAACATTGAGTCAGAAGCAACAAGTGGGGAATTGGAAGATGTTGAAGAACAGTTAGCTGAAGCTGAAGCTACTGCAAGAGAAGTTATGAGTGCAGATTTAGGAGAAAGCTCTGAAATCAAACAAGAAATAAGAGAGAAAGACAAAAGAGAATATAAAACTCAGGAAGACACAGATATGCAAATTTTGGAAGAAGAACAAGATTGTGACAATGAACCTAAAGAAGAATTTCAGCATTTTGAAATTGTGATAGATAATGCAGAGAAAATGTCCTCCACTTCTTGTGAAAAACTGCATCTTATACAAAAAACCCCATCCTTGAAGGAAACAGATGAATTGCAGACATTCTCAACCAAAATCAGCAGTGCTCAGATGTCAGAAATCTTAGAAGATGGTGATACCTCAACAGACGATGAAAAGAATGAGATATGCAACAGCTCCGATTCTTCACAACATCCTGTGAAAATTCAGAAATCATTAAACTCTACAAAACGCCATTACGCTAAAGGTCTCCAGAGCTTAGAATCAGGAGATGCCACAATAAGTTCAAAGAAAATCGTCCTAGAATCTGAAAATACATCAGCCAGTCCTGGGAAAACCAGGAATAAGAGGAGGCGTCCATATGATTCCCCTGTAAGGATGTCAAAACGTCGCAAGCAGTGAAAAATACAGCATGGAGTGGTTATTTCTAATGTCTAAATATTGCAGACAGTGATATGTCTTTGTTTATGCATGTTCAATTCTTTAACAATTATTGCATGACATTTTTTTCTATAACAAATATCATAAAGCATTTCTTCTTCGATATAAATGAATCAATATGCATGATTTTTTTCTGCTCTGCTGTAAGAAGCCTTTTGACTGGAAAATTTCTCTGCTATAGACTTGCAGAATTAACTGTACAATGTATATGTATTCAAGTGAGCCAAATTAGAGTTAGTTGTTACATGTTTTAAAGACATTTTCAAACAAAGTAATATATATATTTGATGAATATTGTTGATATTAAAGACTCACTACCACATTGTTAATTTTTGAATTTCTTTTATTCTCTTTTAAAGTGAACCAGAAGTCTCTGTCAAGACTGAAGCTCGACTGGTTTGTACTTTAATAACAAAGGAAGAGATAAGTAGCAATTGGGACTTGAAACTTTACAACAGCAATAAATAGTATAATGTTCCTTATAACCAATAGTACGATCAAGTCTATCTGATTTCATTGAGAGTTGTTGACCTGCAATATATTGCAATAAATATATCTACAATTGTGGGCAATAAGACTACAACTGTGGGGGGCTTACATCTGAGGTACTGCACATTCTGTTCCTTACAGTACATTCTATCCCTTGACAAAGATGTTGAAGCAAAACTTAAAAGATTTCAAGTATTTTATTTAAAAATTCAACTTCACTTTATAGTACTATTAAAGCAGTTTAAATCAACAATAGTGACAAAACTTTGTCTTGTAACAAAAAAAAATTGATTAAATCTCCAGCATAATATAAAAACAGAACATTTTGGATTTCCAATATAATGGTTAGCAGCTTTTCTGCATGCATGGAACAATTCATAAATCACTTTGTGAAAGCATAATTAGAGCATAACTGTAATGCTCTGCAACTGTAAGGGCTATAATATTCTTTAATTTTTTTAATAGAAATCCTCTGGATAAAAATATTAACAATACATGCAAGATAACCCCCTCCCTCTCAAATATCCAATCTAGGATCAGAGAAATTTTTTTTCAAAAATTAGAAAATGTGAAAATTCCCAGCCAGACATCAAATGACAACAGTTAAAATCAGTCTGATCAGATAAGCTCACTTTATGTTACGCTCTGACTCAGCTGAGCTAATAAAACTATTGACGAATGAATAATGACAACATGTGCTACATGATTATGAAGAGTTACTATGTCTTTATGAATGAAGTTCCCCACTTTTGTGTATTGATCTAACTTTGTGGTGGGAGATGACTCCAATCGATGGCCGATTTCCCCTCCTTTTTAAGAAGTTCGTTACACTTTGAGAAATGTTTACAGCTGAAGAATCCCCGGTGAGCAGAGAGCGGCGAGGGGTGGACACCGGTCAACACGTGATGCTTCTTCTGTAATTAATTGTGTTTAATAAACCAATTAGTATTTTAAACGGACATCAAGTAAAGCAAATGTATACACTCAAGTATTGAAGACTGAATCCTCATTTGACTTCTGACAATTAAATAAACATTGCACTCCAACAGTTGACGAGTAAGTTCAAAATAATGAATGGCAGATACAATTTGTCTAATATGTGAATGAAACTAAAGATCACTGTGCATAAGTGATGAAATACATGTAAATATACTGCAGCACTGATGAAAGAACATTGCATTCTTGTAATTTTCAATGTGTACAGAGGAAACACTTTATTGTAAACAACTTCAAGGTACAATATATGCTCTTCAATATTAGAAAAGAGCACAGATTCTTTCTATCAATATAACTACAAATGTAAAACAGAAATCACCTTGTCAATATGTGCTCCTTTCTTCTGAGCATAGGATCCCCACAAAATAAACACCAGTCCTCGTTTGTTTTTGTTTAGATACGATATGACAGCGTCAGTAAACTTCTCCCAGCCCTGGTCTTTGTGGGAGTTAGCCTGCCCCGCCCTCACCGTCAGACAGGCATTCAAAAGCAGGACTCCTATAATAGAATTTTAATGAAGATACAAACAAACTTTAATTGGCAACCATTTTTAAAAAGACACTTTCTATAAATAAACCGAGGGCAGGCTTTAACTTGAAGGAGTAACCCCCCCCCCCTTCCCGAAACAAGAGGCCCATGGGCCACATCGATCACCTGAGCATTGTGGCTAGGAAAAAGTAGAAATTGGTTTACTATTGAAAAGTTTAAATCGGAAAAATCCAGGCCCCGCCCTACCCCCGGGGGCCTTATACATATTTTGTAAAAACTTGAATATACACTGAAACTAGAGGATGCATTACCATATAAATATGTCAATTATTGGTTTGTTGTTGTATCAAAGAAGATTTTTAAAGAATTTTCCTATATATTTCTATATAAAACTTTCCCCTTGTAATACCATTATGGCCCCGCCTACCCCTGGGGGACATGATTTGAACAAATTTAAATCTACATTACCTGAGGATGTTTCCCGGATAAGTTTCATCTTTCCTGGCACAGTGGTTCTATGTTGGAAGATTTTTAAAACATTTAATAATCAAATTTTCACTTTAATATAAGTATCTCCCCTTACAAATTTATTGTTGGTCGTGGCCCTTTATTTGAAAAGACTTGAATCCCCTTCACCCAAGGATGCTTTGTGGCAAGTTTGGTTTATTTGGTTACCGGACGTAGAAAAAATTTGTAAAGATGAAGTCTTTTAATGTGAAAAAAGTTTACAACAGACCTGGACGCCGGAAACAAAGACTGTGAAAAATGTATTATATTTATTATTTAATCAAAATATATCAAGTTTTATATTTCAAGAATGTCGTAAAAATGTGTTGTATAGTAAACTGACCTTGGTTTGCCCATCCTATGAGAGTACCATGTCCAGGATGGGAAAATCCAGGTATGTCTTCTGAGAGGGCCTTGTACATATTTTGTAAACTGGAAAAAATAATGAAACTAGAGGTATAAATTACTGAACACAAACAGTCAATCTATAATATATAAATAAACTTCTTGTATCAAAGGGACCAATGGGCCACAATGCTCACCTGAGTAACTTTGGATTAGAGTTTCCCCTTGTAATACTCATTATGGCCCTATCCTACCCCTGGGTCATAGATGAACAATTTAGAATCCCCCCTAGGATGCTTTCACATAAGTTTCAGCTTTTCTGGCCCAGTGGTTCTTGAGAGAAGGTTTTTAAGGATTGTTTCCAAAATATTTAGATGTGAAACTTAGATTCCTTGTTATGGCCCCATCCTATCCCAGGGTCATTACTTGAACAACTGAGAATGTACACTATCCCAGGATGCTCTTACATAAGTTTCAGCTTTTCTGGCTTGGCAATACTTGAGAAGCTTTTAAGATACTTTTCCTATATATTTCAATGTTTAACTTAATTCCTTATTGTGGACCTACCTACTCTCAGAGTCATAATTTGAACAATATAGAATCAATACCCCACAATGCTCTCACATAAATTTAAACTTTTCTGCAGTTGGCCCAGTGGTTCTTGAAAGTTTCAACCCAATTTTTTTTTTGTACCAAATATGTTTAAAACTGGCCCAGTGGCTATTTAAATTGAGAAGAAGATGAAAATGTGAAAAGTAGACTGATGGACAACAAACAACAGGTGATCAGAAAATCTCACTTGAGCTTTCAGCTCAGGTGAGCTAATAATCCCTAACAGAGTCAGTTAAAGTTAGATCCATCTAAAAACTTTGATCTCCTGAATTTACAATGCAGAGATGAACTTGAAAAGCTACATGTACATATAAGAAACTGCAGATACTTAAGCAGCAATATGTATGTGATCAGCACAGCATGATAAATGACATTAACATTAATTACCTTGGTGGTGGTGGCACTCCCTTTTGGACACTAAAACACAGACCTGCAATATCAGAGATATTATTAAAGGTACATATATTCCAGATAATTCTTAACATTAACTTAAATAGCAGGTATTTTAAGAATCTCATCATTATATGCATAAATTTTCAGTGATTTTGCATATATTCTCATTCTGTCTGTCTTGCTTTGAAAAATTCTCTGAGTCTACTAAATGTAGTACATGTATTACGGTGCATTAGCTCTTTGATCCATTTAGTATGGTAAATTAGGAGTATCAGTTTTTGTCAATATATAGCTTGTTTAAATCTTCCAGAGAGCTATTTTATTAAAGATCATTGTTTTTTAGTCTCAAAACTTTGAAACCAAGAAGGAAACCACAAAGTGGAGCATCCTCTCAAAAGGGCAAATCAATCTTGTTATTATATATATAACTTTTGTTACGCACTCACAAATGAGTTATATATCCCCTCAACTTTGTTGTGAGGGGAGGGATAATAAGCACTGACCATGAGCTTGTTTGGGTCCATGATAAGGGTCCTGTCCTAGGATGACCAATTTAACCTGTGAACACAAAACTCTTAAATGAACTGGAAATTCTTTATCATGCTACAAGACAATTTTACTTTTTATACCTCATTTGTGCAATGAAAGTTGAAAAACTATATTCATTTGATACATCTCAATCAACTTATCAAAATCTTGCTTGTAAAATCCAAGATCATCTTTAAATCATGAATGCTTCTAGTCTTGTCATATTTAGTTTTGTCAAGGAGGTTTTTTCTTGAACCTGTAGAAAGCCTTACTTTATCAATACTGCAGTAGTTGGTCCAGCTAAACACATCATGGACTGGGGGATATATTGTATGCTTGCTTCTTTCAGACATCACAAACCTTGAAAGCTAAAATTTAGAAGTTAATCAATAAACAATTTATTAACATACCAGAAATATGTACTTGAAGAATATACAATCATTAACAAAGACATAATATGCATTCTTGAAAGATATAACACCAGAAAAAAAATTCAATCTGGAATGGAAGTCTTTTAGAAATTGCTGCACTTTCAAGTTTGCATGATACATACTCACATTGGTAAAATACTCCTTTGAGAATTCACTCTCCAGGGCTTTGAACCACGATGGTCCTACATCGACCAGTAGACCATTAGATGTCTTGGATGCTAGTCTAGCTCTGGCTGCTAACTTGTTCTGTTCTATCCTGTCTTTTTGTTCAGGAGATAAAGGGGCTGATGGTACATTGCTGTTGGGACTGTTTTCTATATTCTCTTTCATTGATGAGACATCTTCCCCTTTTTCATCCATTTTGAGCTTCTTTGGGCTTGGTGTTTTAGGCTAAAAACAGAAATTGAAAATATTGGATAGTAATTCAGCATCATCAACTACATAAAACAATATTGGTATACATTACATCATGTTGACAGTAGGTTCACTTTCCTGGACCTTCATGGGAAAACATCAACTCAAGTTGAAAACCATGAAGACTGTCAATTAAGACAATCGACTAGTATACTTATATATCATATCTTAAAAAGCATCTGTAACCATGCAGTGACTGACAGTTGATGTCATAAAATAGTTAAATCAAGATAATAAAGCTTTATTAAGAGATGTACAACAGAATGCAGAATATAATGCAGAAGAACAACACTGTCAACAGACTTTCTTTGATCAGAGACAGCTCAGGTGAGCTAAAATTACATCATTTTCAACAGCTAATACTGTCCAAATCTTGGGACTTGGACTGCTTGTGGCCTTGTTTGAAACCTAAATGTTGCACTACAAAACTATACATATTATCAAGAAATGGAACTGCACAATATATTTAGGCAGTCAATACCCCCGCCCCTCCCCCCTTACCACTGTTTCTCCGATTTCTCCATTATTGACATTGTTGATCGTCCGCTTGGTAGACTGTGTGAAGAAAGCCGAAATTTTCGCCTGCCCACTCATTTTTTTTAATGTGCTTACCGGTTTAAATAACGCAAACACACTGCATTTACTTGCGCTCTTGATCAAGTTAATGAAGACCATGAAAATTTCCCGCGTTATTTCCGTGTCAATTCTAGGTCACATACCGAAAATAGGTTCGAAATAAACACTGTTGTCGCTATATTTTTACCCATTGTTTGATATTTTATCTAAATAAACATGCTTGTGTAACTTTTAAATAGTCGATAAATTTGATAACAATTGTGATTATTGGTTTATTTGAACTTTATCGTGAATTTCGATGCACGTACGCAATGCTTTCCTTTTGCGACTCTATCCCACTGACCTAAATATTTTCGCATTTGGACCGAAGAAGCTGGCAAGGCAATAAGATGGCAAAATCCTACAGTTTTCTTTATTCTCAAAAATTTCTAGGAGTTTGCAGAGAGAAGAACTGATTTGGAGCGTTTACAACAGGTATTTATGTGGTGTTTATTTGGTAAAATGATGTAACTTTGACAGATTTTGACAGAATCAGCTGACTCGATGGACAATGGTTACGAAACTTTATGAAGTTAACTTGCCAAGCAACTATACTGTAGGCCTAATCATGATAATGGTTTGTTCTTTTTCATAGATTAGAGAGGAATTAATTGTTTTTCTCGATATAGTAATATTTTTTCTAGCCTAGATCCACTAACAGTATGACCCACAACCCCATGGCCAATTGGCCATCCTGTAGTGTCCACTTCTTTCAAGAACTTTGCAGTAAAACTTGAGCTTAACATGCTTAAGGTGTGGATGATTACACTTAAGTGCTTTGAAATGATCCATCGCTAGCAGTTTGATAGAAATTCTTGCATGATTTAACATACACCTTACACATGTAACAGGAGAGGAGAAAAATGCATGCAGTGTACCAGACCGGATTCGAACCCAGGCCTCTGAATCTCTAGTCAGGTGCTCCTCTGACTGAGCTATCTAGCCATCAGTGATCAAATCCGGCTGAATGCCACATTCCTCCCTCCTTAAAGGTCTTAAATGGTCCCTCAAAGACGCCAACGGAGACTCATTCTTGGCAGGCCTTGCAGCCCTCACCTGTCAGTTCCAGGGCATGGCACAGCACCAACTGTAACAGCAAAGGAGAAAAATGCAGTGGACCAGATTCAAACCAGGGCCCCCCTGATTCTCTGGTCAGGTACTCTAACTCTGATCTATCTGGCCACCAGCGATCGGACCCCACTGACCACCACATGCACACAGGTTAATTGCTGGTGTTCACATTAAAATCAAAATGATTTAATGTGGATGTAATCATTATTTTTATGGTTGTGATGAAATGAAATTAACCTTCTAATAATATTAAGTCATTTTGTCAACTTTATAGATGGAAGATTTAATGTATAATGAAATGCATGCATGCATGTATTGCATGTTCGTAACACAGTAACACTATACTTTCAGTAGTTACTGACAGTGTGCTCTCAACTTATACGACCTATTTTTCTTAAAATACTATAGGATGTAGTGAGGCTATATAAAATTATTACTACTCACTAATTATATATTTTCCTGTATTCTTGTCGTCCTATCTGGGGAGGAATTTAAATAATTTGATTTTCAGTCCTTTGGCCTGGGACTTGTAAATACATATGCATGTAATAATGTATCTGTAATTTTGTATGTAATATTATCTTCAAAACTTCCATTTTATATATTTTAGCTGCATTATTTAGGGCAAAACTGATTCAAATTGAAAAAAACAAAAACTATAGAAAGTCTTAGTTGTACATGTTTGAGCTAAGTCAGTGAAAGTAATTATTAACTTGATTTGATTTGAAATTAATAAATTGCCTAGATTTCTTAAATTTTTGTGAAGGTTGAATAAACTCAGTGAACAATTTATGGGTATGATAAACTAATCTAATGGTCCCATGAATTTGAGGTAAGGGATATAATTAAGAAATGAGTATACTTTTTGTAAAAGAAAGCAAATTAATTAAAATTACCCTTTCCAAAAAATACAAGAATACAGTATACTAAAAAATAATACGTTCACTATATCTTTAGAGATAGGCTTTGCATGATTAATTTGGGTGAAAATTTTTACAAAGAAATATTTTTGATATTAAAAAGAATGCTTTAATTAATTGTTGATATATAAGCAAATTTTCACACAATATTCAAGCTAGGACATAAGCATGTTCAATATTATACAGGTTGTTAATAATTTTAATTCCTCCTGGCTCCAGATATCTGATAATTCTTTCAGGTATGCATTCTTGTCCATGCATGAGCCTTTTTCCCTGATTCATTGCTCGACAGACAGAATCTAGACTCAGATGTACTATAATATAATGAAGGCAATGAATGCATATGATATATAAAAAAAGAAGTTGCTCGTAACACTTGTCCTAGATAAAGAAATCTGTCATGGGTTTTCTGACAATACAGCTGTATCTGGCATCTGATCAGGAATTATAGAGTTGTTAGTAATTGTTGAACACCAAGACCTTCCAAGAAGTCAGTCACTTGAGAAAATTTTCCCAAGCAATTCCTTCTGATGAACTTTGCTCTGGATGCATAATAATATGAGAAATGACAAATCTGTAGAGTGACATAATGTTCTAATTACCGTATAATCCGTATTAACCGCCCCGGGCACTTAGAAAATTGCAAAAAGGGGGCGGTTATTTTGGGATTCTCTTTAATTAGTTTATAATATTTAATGTCATATTTTAACTTCAAAATTTTTTTGAAAAATAAATAGATAAAAGGAACCACTAAAATAATGTCTAACCTATTTACTTAATTTACTTAAAGTAAGATAATCCACTCAAATTATGCTTAATTATTCATTTTCTGTTGAGAATTTGGAAAATGGACAAATTTCATTTTCACTTATTCTTCAATTTTTTTTATATGATTCTAGTTGATTTTAATCACTGTACAGGGAGCCCTTATTTCATGACAATTGAAAAATACCTAAGGGGGCGCTTATAGGGGCAGGGATGGTTAATAGGGATTATACGGTATAGCTTGCATCACAGGAAAATATTTTATTAGTACCTGTGTTTCTTCAGACAATTGGCTCTGTGATTTAGAATAGACAGACAAAAAGTCTACATGTACATGTTTATTGCCAAATTGCATTTCCAATCACATTTTGTCCATGTAGTACATCTTTCTAGCTATCCGACTTTCAATCCATCTGTCAGCAAACTTTCGACATTTTTGACTTCTTCTCAAGAACCACTGGGTAAATTTGAACCGAACTTTTCACAAAGCATCCTTGGATAAAGGGGATTCAAGTTTATTCAAATGAAGGGCCATGCCATCCTGCAAGGGGAGATAAACACAAATTAGTGCAAAATTAATGGCATCTTTTAAAAATCTACTTCTCAAGAACCACTCGACCAGGAAAAATGAAACTTATATGGAGACATCCTCAGGTAGTGTAGATTCAAGTTTGTTCAAATCATGACCCTTTGGGGGAGGACATTGCCGCAATTGTCAATTTTATATAAGAATACATACTAATAGGAAAAATTTATAAAAATCTTCATCTCCAGAACCACTGGGCCAGGAAAATTGAAACTTATGTATCCTCTGGGGTACTGTAGGTTCGAGCTTGTTCAAATCATGACCTCTATAGCTTAAAATCTTTTAAATCTTCTTCTCAAGAACAGCAAAGCCATGATAAATCATATTTATATGGAAACATCCTAATTACATGTAAGGTAGTGTAGATTCAAGTCTGTTCAAATCATGACCCCAAGGCGTACATGTAGCATGATGTAGGGTGAGACCACAATGGATGATCAAATTTTACATTAAAATACATTTGAAAATCCTTTTTCTCCTCAGAACTACTGGGACAGGAAAAATGAAACTAATACTGATGTGGAAACACCCTCAGGTTGTGAAGATTCAAATTTGTTCAATTCATGACCCCTGAGGATGGGGCGGAAAGCAAAGAAGCATCACATTTTATTAAGGAATACATAGGAAAAATCTTTAAAAATCTTATTCTTAACAGCAGCAGAGTCATGATTGGTCATATTTAGATGGAAGCCCCCTCAGGTAGTTTAGATTCAAGTTTGTTGAAATCCTGACCCCAGAAGTAGGATATGGCCACAATAGAAGGTAAATTAAACTTATAGGATTTTTTTTCAAATCTTCTAGAGCCATGATTTTTCAAAGAGATTTATTAACTTGCTCAGTGTAGATTCAAATTTGTTTAAATCACTCTCCCTCCCTTTAGGAAATGGTACATTGATACCACTCATAAAAACTGAACTAGCCAAAGTGCTCAGGTGAGTGATGTGGCCCATGGGCCTCTTGTTTTTTAAACAGAGAGACCATTGTTGGATGAAAAAAATTATAAATCTTTGGCATATGGCAAAGTAATTAAGGTACAGTAAGTTACACTTAAAAATGAACATATTTGCTCATGATGAATTCATGCTAATAAGTCATTTTAATATGCCGGTAGATATGACATATTTCATTCTAAGATTAATTGTTCCAATGTACCTGTATTCATATGCAAACTTTGATAATTATATACTCATTAGCTTTAAGATGGTGTAATATTATTTGGAGCATTGACCTAATTTGTGGTTATTTTTAGTTAACAGGGACACAATGTAAGTCGCCGTAAGATGGTTGATAACCTCCCTGCTAACATCTCCTTGCCGCTGCTTGGTATTGGAGCATTATCTCTCATCCTTAGTCTCATCTTCTGCTGCTACATGTGGAGGTGAGTTAATATAGTTACTGATCAACCACATACTCAGTTGCTAAAGCATTGTTAAAGAAGTAAAATAATAAAGAAAACTGTGGATACAGGTGAAAATCCCATCATTTAAAATATATTAAAGAAAATAAATTATTCATAGATCAATATATATATACATGTAAATGCTTGTACGGAGTGTATGTATGTATACATGATATAACCCCAGTATTGCATAATTAGTTTGCATGCAGTACAATTAATTAAAGTACATAGTTCCCTCTTTTTTATTACCCTCCACTTGGAAAAAAGGGGGAGTACTCAGTATACAGTGATTGTGTTGTCATTATGTTCATCTTTAAAATTTACACTCGGGGGTTTCCATCCCTTATTTGGAATTCTTCTTGCTAGGGATATCGCTGAATGCAATTTATTGAAACTTTCCTTTGTATTAGTGCTGGGCAAAAATATCGATATTTCTGTATATTGCAATACAATATGACAAAAAATATCGTATTGCAATACATTTTTGTAATATGGATATATTGGCAAATTGCTTAGACTAAGGAATTTTATCAATAAATATGAAAATAAATGTAAGAAATGCTTGTTATTAAGCCAAACAGTAAGACAAAAGCTGTTTTATGGATGTATTTCAGAGCATAACTTTAATAAAATCAACTGATTCAAGATTTTTTTTTCCTTTTGGTTACTTTTCATAGTTATGTACATTTTGCATGTAAATTAAAGTTAATATAAAAAGAAAATTCCATTGTAATTTTCATTGAAAATATTGCAATACATATCGCACACAGTTAAAAATATCGCAATATATCGCAATACGAAATCTCTGGCCAATACCCAGCCCTACTTTTTATTACATAGTGACATTATATATCACCTTTTTTATGTTTTAATTGTACACATATTTGGAGTTTCCCTTTGCAAACCATGGACTTTTCCATTCTTGGTATCCTTGAGGGTATATTGCCATCACTTTCCCGCAACTCTTCTTGCACAACTGACAGCAATTTCATGAAAGAGAGTGTTGCAGAAACTCACAATTATTCCCTATATCAAGAAGGACATATAAAAAGCGCGACACATGAAGACTTAAATGTCTACATTTAGAAAAAGCCACACAGATGACATTTTGCTTGTCTTGTATTCCCAGCATGATATTTAGCAAAACAATTCATATTTAATTATGTTTGTTTCTTGCAAGTTTTTCATTTATTTATAATTCAACATAGGAAATACCAGTATCCCCAACTATACTGTAGGTCACTATATTTTCGCGACACCTTATTTTCACGAGATAGTCATTGACTCTTGATTAACAAGACAAAATTTTCATGAATTGTGGTTATTGCTTTATATAATCTTAAGGAATGCTATTATACGCAAGAATTAAATTTTCGCGAGCACACTGTCTCGCGTAATTATGCGAAAATAAAGTTCTTGCGAATAAAAAGTGATTTACAGTATATATCACTAAAAAAATTCCATGAGACTGTCACAGATTCTATTCAGAGTGCCATTGTGACCTCCTATTTTATGTTTTCACTCAGATCATTTTGATTGGACACATATTTAGAGATTTCCTTAGCAAAAAATGCATTATGCAAATACATGTATACTCAATTCAAGGGATACCCATTTTGCATTTACTCCTCCTCAACCCCTTAACAAAATTCAATGGAACTTTCATTCATCTATCTACCAACAAATTCACTTTGCAAATTAAACTCATGTGGGAGCAGAGGGTATATCATTTTGTGAGCTTATAGTGCTCAAAATTCCTCTGACAAACTAGTTTCCTTTAATTTTTCCATAAAAAAAAATTACTGTAGGAAATGTAATTATAATCATGTTCATTTGTAATTTTTCTTTAAATAACCTTGTAGACTGAGATGGAAGGCAAAACAAGAACAAGGCTATAGGAGGGTAATTATTTAATTTCCTGTGCAAGGAAACTGAATATGTAGCTTTATACATTATACATTTATATGTTTTACTATAAATTGTATTTTACTACTGGGAGTGTAAAATTTGTTGAATGTGTTTCAGATTGCATGATTGTAATTTATTAACAAGTAATTAAAATATACTCAATTCACTTTTTTCCCCCTTAATTTATATTGACACACTTAATTTAAATTGGAATAAACTTATATATTCATTATAGGTTCAATTTAACAGTAGAAAAAAGGCAGCAAATGAGGTAAGTATTATTGTATGTATATATGAACATGAATTTAGAAGCCATTTATTAGAATATCAAGCACAAATGCACTTCACATAATTTTATTGTCAGCCACTTGTCAGAAAGCACCAGGTCATTATAGCTCTACACAGACTGACAGATGGACAAAGTATACAAATAAAAGTCTTTCATCTGCATACCTGCCCATCCATCTGACAGTCTGTTTGTCTCTTGCAAAATCTTTTATCTTTTTCACAACTTATGAATGAGAGAAGATAAAGCTTTCATATTTTACAAGTGCATTACCTTTGATAAGACACTGTGATATAGCACCTTGCAACTTTGACCTTAAAGTTTGACCTACTTTTAAATTAACAAAAACAAATTTGGTCCTTAGCTTTTGAACCAGAAGTGGGGGGCTTTTATAAAAAATACTATGATTATCTTATTAAAAAGACTCCTATTCATTTTTAGGGTAAAAAGGTAAAAGACCAAACCAAAGTCAGGAATTTAGATACTGCATACTTAGATGATAAGTTCTCTGTAGGCTTTTGAAATGTTGAATTTCTTCAGTCCTAGAAAGGACCCTAGCTTTAAGTTCAAACCTGAAAAGTCAGAGTTGAACATTTTTAGCTCACCCGAGCCAAAGACTCAAATGAGCTTTCCTGATCACATTTTGTTCGGCATTAGTCAAGCTGTTCATTTCTGTCTGTCTGTCGGTAAACTTTTCACATTTTCAACTTTTTATCCAGAATAAGTGGACCAATTTCAACCAAACTTACCACAAAGTATCCTTTTGTAAAGGGGTTTAAATTTCTTTAAATGAAGGGCCATACCTTCTCCCTAAGGAAGATAATCAAAAATTTGTGAAAAATAAATAGCATCTTTTAAAAATCTTCTTGTCAAGAACCACTGGGTTCTTGAAAAAAATCTTCTTCTCAAGAACAACAAAGGCATCATTAGTCATATTTACATGGAAGCATCCTCAGGTGGTGTAAATTCAATTTTGTTCAAATCATGATCCCCAGAGGTAGGATGGGACAAAAATGATAGTTCAAACTTAGAGGGAAAAAAGACATACACGGTAGTAATTCAAAGAAATATGTTAGCATCCTTAATAATGTTGATTCAAGTTAATCGAAATCATAACCCACCCACACACACACCCTTTAGAGGTAGGTCGAGATCACTAATGCATTTACAAGCTTTTTAATATATTGATTGATTTTTTGATTTTCACTTTTTTCCTAGCCACATTGCTCAAATGAGCAATGTCACCCTAGGCCTCTTGTTGTCCTTTCTTAATCTGCACTCTTTGCCAGTTTTTTTTCACCTCTAATTTTTTCATGAACAGATGGGGAGGGAAAGAAAAAAATTCATTCAATGACCTCGTTCTGGATGAGTAACAAAATCTTCATACAGTTACAGTACTATGATTTTGTACCTGTACTTTTCTGCACTAAAAATTTGGCATTTGTCAGAAGATGATTCTGGTAATCTGTATTTTCTTTCATAGACATGCCCAGTTTGTTTAGAAGATTTTGAACTGAAAGAGTACATTGCTGTTTGTCGATGCACCCACTGTTTTCACATGAAGTAAGTTAAAAACAGACATCTACAGTAAAACTTGTCTATTCTGGACACTGCTGGTTTCAAAGAAATTGGCCGAAATAGATAAAATCCCAGCTTAGACAACATTTTCAACACATTGGCGTCCGAAGCAAATTGAAAGTGGGGGGGCTAGGTGTTAAATAATTTTTTTTTATACCTTTTCAAAAAAACCTGACAAGCAAAAAAAAAAGGAAAACAGAACCATTGACCCAACGCGAAAATCCTATTTCGGGGGGGGGGGGGCGGGGGAAATTCGAACTTCAGTACCAAAATTTTTCTTATGCACCATTTTTTAAACATTTTTTACCTATACATGTACTGCGATATGCCTGTGAAAAGTGGGGGCGCTAAACCTACGAAGCAATGTTCAATGTCAATATAAGTATACATTTGGAAAAAAAGTGGGGGGGCTAAGTCAATACTAAGTATATATTTGGAAAAAAAGTGGGGGGGCTAAGCCCCCCCTAGCCCCACCGTTTCCGACGCCTATGCAACAAGTGATTTAACTCAAAGGAACTTAAAATTAGACCATATGTGGCAAGATATGGGAATATATAACATCCAGATAAGACAAGTTACACTGTATTTTTTTTTTAAATGCCAAAGAACATTTTGAAATTTTGTTTTGCAGTTAGCTCTGTAATCAAGAACACAACAGAATTATAGAGTAATTTATGCTGTATATGTCATTTTTGTCTCAACACTTTTGCAAACAATTTCACTTGAAATGTTTTAATTCTTACCAGACACAGTTGTGTTAAAGGGAGATAACTCTAGTGTTATTTCCTGGTTTTGAAATGGCCCACTGACGATGAGGGCAAAAGAGAACAAAATAAAACAGAGTTGAAAGTTAAACGAAAAAGTGCATATTCTCCTGTTGGAAGTTACATAAATTTTACGCACTTAGAAATTGGAAATTAGGGAAATGTTCAGTTTGAAGACTGACTTTCTTGTACATCTGTATTTTAAACAATAAAAGAGCTAACCACTCCTCCCATTAATGACCTTTCCTCTTGTCTTCAGATGTCTTCTTGATTGGTTACATCATAAGAACATGTGTCCAATGTGTAAGGCCCCGGTGCAGTCAGGCTGCCTTACAGAGAGAACAGGTCTGGTCTCCCTGCCTATACCCCCCAGGAGTATCCCCGCTCAAGTCAACCATGTGTGATATTATGTTCATAAACTGTGGTTATTCCTACAGTCATTTTGAATTTTGTATATATTTTGTGATTAGTAGCAATTGTATGGGCAGTTTTATTATATCTCTGAGTCAGTTGAAGTAGATATAAGTTTTGATTTTTTTTAATTTGGTTTTTGTCAGTTCTGGATTGTTTTATGTCCACATCAACCTTTGAGGTGCTTAAATTGATTATCTTCTTGTGTACCGGTAGTTATTAATTTTTTTCTGTTATATGTTTTATTAACATTTTCATGACATGGTATTGTACTAGTTTGTTCAGTATACAATATAGATCATAGTACAATACAGTGAATATGGTGTTACTTAACTGTCTTGAAGTTAAAAGAATTAATGTTCATGAGTATATATACTGTACATGTACATCACTGCATGTATGGCATTCTAGGCATTATGGACTTTTGTTCTTTTGTTCATGCTTAGGTGGTGTACTGAATAGTCTACATTATATATGAACTGATATTGAATCTTAATTTATTTTGAATTGTGGTATTATACATTTATTGCATGATAGTGAGGGAAATATGAAGACCTATTCAGCCAAGAAAAATCATATTCCCCAAGGGTTTTATCCGAAGGGAATATAAATGCAGATATTTCTTGGCTGAATAAATCTTCATGTTTTCCGAACATTCATGCAATAAATTCTTTATTATACTGAAACAAGCAAAAACTTTTATTAAATAAACATAAACTTTCAAAATCAAATTCACTTTCATTTTTAACGCAAAGTTACTGAAACCCTTTGACACATCACTAATCAACAATTTTGTGAGGTAAACCAGGTTATTGTGGCGTCTACCACTCTCGGGAGTTTTCTTTCAGCGCATGATAACTGTATTGTGGGAAAATACACTAAGTATCCGAAGAGGTGGAATAGGATGAAAAGCATGCCGAGGACTGGGAAATATGAAGTTTTGTGGCCCGATCACATGATAATCTAGAACCAATCAGACAACACATTGTCTAGAATAATTATAATGAGGTATGATAGAATGCTTTGTTATACACGAGTGGACAAATAATGTATAAAGAACAGTTCATTTGCACCCAGTTATACAATAACCAAAAGTACACCAACTAGCACAGAAGTTTTTGGTTGTTGGATATAAATGTTATGTACATATGTTGTATATTATTTTCAGTTTGACATTGATTCTTATCCTAAAGAATAATCATGTATATACAATCATGTACATATACTTTATAAAAATTATGTCTTCCAAGTTCCAAAACATACGCTAATTATTTTGTTCATACATGTATATGTACATTTGATGCATTCACATGCTGATTGAACAACCAACAAATTAGCTAGTTCATTAATAGTATTTAATTAGTTGAATTTTATTTATTACATTATAAATGTAAAGATTGAGATGAAATTTTACACCATTTTTTCATAGTTTTAGTCAAAATGTTTAAGAAGTGCCATTTATGCAAATTTTGGAATTGATTTACACATACATGTACTGTAGATCACTAAATTTTCGCGACACCTTATTTTCGCGAGATATTCATTGACTCTTTATTAGCTCATTGTCTCGCGTAATTACGCGAAAATTAAGTTCTCGCGAATAAAACGTGATTTACAGTATATGGACTATGGTACTGTTCTTATACCAATTTATGATATGGATGTTAGTTTAATATAGCCATTGGTACTTCCCTAGCTGTATATGCAATGTATAAACCTAATTGATCTTTAATTCATGCACAATTAAAACTTAATAGTGCTGAGAATGTTGAAAATTTTATTTGTTCACCTGAGACTGTTTATAAAAGGTGCTCAGTATTGCTAAGGATTCATTCACCATCTTGAAATGGGTTCAATATTTAACAATTATTTAAGTGTCATTTTGTTTCCTTTGAAGATAATTTATTTTCAGTACTGTTATAGTTACTTTCAATTTGTATATTTTCAAAATATATTAAGTAGTTATTACAGGTAGTTTAGAGCTTTATTTTTCTCTCACAGTAGCCAAAAAATTAATGTTATTTTTGAAGATATTTGACGAAATAGTCATGACAACTACTTTAAACTGTACAAGCTAGGAGATATGACAACATAGCAACATATATATTTTTCGTCAAGATGGAAAGGGATCGAGTAACAGTTTTAGTAGTATATACTAGTAAAGATTTTTATTTTGTATGAAGAAATACACGTAAACATACAATAAGTGATGAATTATAGATTTACTATTGCAGTCTTCTTTTTTTTTTGTGAGTTATGTACAATGTATAATATAATACTGCTGATTTTTTTTATCACTCGATAATTATAGCTTTCATACTAACTTACTGGAAAATATTTTTATTTACTGTATTTGATGCAGTGTTATAGATTGTAAGTCTTTTTTTTACGTCCAAAAAATGTGGGGTTATAAATTTAAATTAAAAAAAACAGTCTGTCTAAATTTTTCATGTTTTCTACTTCTTGGAAAGCTGAAGTAAATGCTCTTCTAAATGCTAGATCTCAAGATACATGTACCATATAAGCGGAATTTTTAGCGCTGATTTAATTTTGGCATTATTAGCGATGGTGTTGATATCGCTAAAAATAAATTGCATTTTATTTGCAATAGCTTCTTTAGTAGTCATTTTAAAAATTGTTAAAATTACTTCTTGCTAAAAGTAGAATGCCAATTTTTAAGGAGAAATCCCTAAATTTGCATCCAGCCAAATTTTCCACTAATACTTGTATATTGTACAGTGGGAGGCCTCGTAGCATTATGAAACAATTCTGACCTGTAAGGTGCCATATTGTGAACGTTTGTGTGGAATATTCCTGGTAATTCCACACTTAATTCTATGTGAGGGATGATCAGAAGGGGAGAGCAATGTGCTGTAGATTTTCTAGACTGTATAAAAGGCATTACACAGTCATGTATTTGCTCATCATAACATTTTATATACCTTATTTGAATTTATCAAGTTTTAAATACTAGTATTTTGTTACATGTATTTTTGCTTGTTTTTTAAAAGGGATTGCTTAGTTTTGCAATTTATAATGTTTTTAGCTATCAGCGTAAGGAAACACATATGCTGCACATGTTTAGTATATGAGTTAATTATTACATTTATGCATGTACATGTGTCATTGTGTGGGTTTTTGCATGCTCCCTAACCCCCCTATAATGCATTATGTGTACTGAAGCAATAGTTTTTGACAAACATTTTAAATTTCAATTAGAGATCCACAGGAATTTCTTTATCCACAAATTTTCTGTTTTCATAAATACTGTATAAAACATGGATTATACTGGAAGGTTGAAAGTTTAATGATTTTTGTAAATAAGAAATATGGTTAGCGAAACTTTTTTTTTGGAGTTATACCTTTTAGGAAGATGGTAAAAGTTTACAAGAATGCTGTTGAAAACAGATCATTAAGTTAATTTTATTTTATAAACTCTTTGGATCTACATTCCATTTCTTCCTTTGCACAACATTTTCTTCTTATTAATAAAAAGTTAATAGTTAAGATTGATAACTATAATTTTCCCTTTTCCTTCTGTTGAATTACTCATGTTGGCTGTAGCAGAATATTTCAAGACTTTTAATCTCTGTGTGTTATATATTGGAAATATCTTTAGGTTCTTATTTTTTTCATTTTCCATTTTCATACTTTTACATCAAATCAAGAGATTGCAATCATTTCCCTCTATCCTTTACATTAGAAATGCATACCCCACTGCAGGGTCTGTATGTTAACTGTTTTCTAGTTTGGGCAAATGAATATGTGATCGAGGCATTATACTTTTATATACATTGTACATTTATAAGTAAAATTCCATGTATAATAGATAATATTATTTGAGACTACATGTATTATACATGTATATATTAAACTACAAATTGAATTCTTTTTTTATTTTTTGAAATGGACTTGATTGAATTTATAATTATAAATTATGCAAGTCATTAGTGATAAGTTAATATAGACAATACAATTTTTCATCAATTTTTTTTTTTTTTGAATATTTGTTGTCAAATAGTGGCAGTCAAATGAGAGATTTATATGATACTGAGAATCATAACATACATTCATGTATGTGCTGGCAAAAATTAATTGCAAGAATATGCTTTATATTCCTGTTAAAAGTTTTACATAAAAGTCAGATAAATATGTCAATCAGAAAAAAGTGCTAGCTACAATGTAGGTGTTTGTTTTATTAGGATATTTCTACCATACAGGTATTAAAGCTACTGTAACAATGTATGATGGACATATATTTTTTTTCTCTAGTGCTATAATTTTTTTTTATCTTTGTTATTTACTTATATTGTAAACAAAGAGACCTATAATATACATTGCACCTGTTAAATAAATTGCTATCTTGAAATAAACTGTTATCAATATTTACATTCTAGTCTGTGTCTCATATAATCTTTTATAAAGGTAAGCCCACTTGGTGCAGTGGTCAGAATGTTTGCTATAGAGTCATGGAATAAGGAATTAATCCCTAGGTAGCATGTTCAGTTCCAACCGTATAATGTGGAGACCAGTCGTTCTTCCAGGACCATAGTGTGCATCTAACTATAAGTGGACTAGGTGATGGCATGACAGTCTGATTAAAATCAAACCTTACACTAGCCCCTTTATTTTGATGGTCTACATGACCTTATTTTGTACCCTCCACTTGCAATTGGTGGCATCTCTATATGAGGGGAAAATTATCGAAGGGAAGTTAAACCAACAAACAAAACCTTTACAAATGGATGCTAGACGATCAAGTTATTATTATTATTTTATTTTTTACATGTTTAACTTTAAGCTTTCATTAACCTATGTTTACTGGAATTCATAAATTTAATATAAAACTATTTTGAATATTGAATGCAGTTCACTGTATTTTTTTTTAACTTGTGTATAGTAGTCATAAAAGGACATCCACATTTCTCTCCGAGGTCAGAATCCTACAAAATTCGAATTGATTTGCATCCAGATGTAAGAGACACAGAATATACCTGGTAAATAAAATTCAAAAAGACATTTTTAAAAAAGAATTCAGTCAATAAATGAATCTCAATAATCCATCAACATGAATGTTTTAACAGTGGTTCTATAAGCTGTTCTTTCCAATGAACATAGGACAAACTTCTGCCCTAGAGTCAACTGAGTATTCATTAAAATAAACAATTTGAAAAAGGGAAGTTATATTCTCTCAAAATACTGATTGGACAACACTTCTTCAACCAACATACTAACAATGAACTGTAGAGCCATATACATGTATGTCCCCTTTTGTTAATGTGGGAGGAGGGGTGGGGTGAGGAGTAAAGAATAATCAATCGATATAATTTATCAAATAATTTATTAAATATTCATATCCAGTGTATAGGATTATTTCAGTTAAAAATCAGGTGACAGCTATAGATATCAGTTGCATACATAATTCTTATGTTCATTCTTTTTCCAAGCTAATATCAAATTTTGTTAGTAACATGTACATGTAGAAGTTATATCAAACACTTTTATACACGATTAAGCTTGTATACATGTATATGCTGATAAGATGTCCTTTTTTTCATGTATAAAAAACTTGCAGCCATATGCTTTGATATAAAAGGATGTTGCCCTTATTTACACTGTATACCTATGAATCGTGAAAAACGCATCTCAAAATTGTAAACATTTAGAACAAAAATCAATTGCATTACTATACCTGTGATTAACATAATGAAAAACACACCTGTACAAAATAAGATTCTCTGCAAATCAGCTGAGCTGAGAATAACATTTACCCATGTCAAAACAGCGTATAGTCTGGGACAAATATATTATTATTTAATGTATGTAAAATGTGGATATTTTGGGGATTACAACTGATGGCATTTTGTAGTGAGTATATGCATGTACACTATTCCATTTTTAAAATCCTGGATAAATCAGAAGCATGCATCATCTGTTTACAAAATTGAAGCAGCTTGAAATATTATCTGACAATTCCACAGAGTAACAGTATATATATAAAAAAAAACTGCTAATATACCTGTTAATTAATTAGAGTCTCCTAGCCACATGCAGATTCTGAATTTCTTAAACTAGTTTTATAAAAAATACAGAAAAACTCACAATTCCTTTACACTTATCAGTAGAAAAATAAACCATATACAATCAATTTTTAGCACTTACACACAAAATACTCTAGAACATTTACAAAAACTCTTATATAACAATCTACAAATAAAACTATCTAGTATTATTATTATGGATTTTCAAGAGACAAATAGGACTAGCTTTTGTAAGATTATTATAGCAAATTTGTGGATTATACAGAATGTAAAAACTAAGAAAAAAACATGTTTACAAGTAAATATCCATTGCTGTTAGCTAATCAAAATGTAATATTTCCAATTGATCATGAATCACTGAATGATTTTTTAGTGTAAAAAATAAACATTTAACATAGACCACCTATTAAGTACATGTATTTGATATGTATCAGGAATAAACATACAGTCTTTGAGGGTACACTGTATAATAAAAAGCTTGGCGTGCATGTTTACACTGCATTAATTTGAATAATTCTACGAATCTTACAGAAAAGCTAAGCTCTTACATGTATATACCATTTATTTTCCCTTATCAATAAAAATTTCCAAATTTAAATTTCTTGAACATATCAATTACAATATTTCCTAAACACTCAAATCAATCTATCTTGTATATGGATTTTTTAAACTGTCTATGGCATTGAACCTTAACTTTTATTCATCATTTAGATCAGCAGTCTTCATTATAAAAGTGTTCAAGGCACGTCGTTCATCCGTTAATTAATTCCACGTAATTAGCAGGAAACATTCCGTGCTGTCCGTCTGGTCCCATTCCTGTCCACCAACCCTCGTCGATTTGTTCGATGTTTGTGATAATTTGGTCGGGATCAAAGGTAATTTCAGAATCATCCGCTGTAAATAAAATAAAACCAATGCAAATACAGCGTATAAATAAAATTCATATTTCAGAGTAATGATAAGTACGAAAATCAATTTATTGATTATTGATGACAACTTTTACTTTGGCAAACATGGCAAAGTCAATTTCCCTATTACTATGCCATAAATGCAAACAGAGTAAAAATTAATATGCCTCTTTCAAGAAGCACTTTGTACATTTATGATAAACTTTATTTTCTATCAAGGTGAATATTCTTCATTCATGATTGTGCTTGTTTGATCCTTTCATCATGGTGAAAATTCCCTATATTTTGTGTGCAACAGAGACATGTATGTGCCTCCAAAGAATTTCAACCCAGGACCTTTGGAATGCCAATCCAGTGGAATACCGATCAAGCTAAAAGGTTAAACTCCTAGCCCAACTAGTATGATTCCCTGTGTATCTAACAATACCACATATGTCCTAACTCTGCGTACCTGCTTGATAGTCGTACAGTGCCCTGGCACACAGCCCATGTTCTGGAAGGATCCCGGACGTGTTCTGTTCCTCGTGATATTGCTGCTGTTGTTCCTGGTCATCGTAATACTGGTCATGTCCGTTCTGTGTGGGGGATGGTTCTGGAGGGTACTGGTCCTCGTCTGGAGGGGGGTGGGACACCACCGCAGGGATATGTGACTCCTCCGCATTATCTTAGGGAAGGTAAAAAAAATACAGATTATGAGAATACCCATTCTACTGCATGTTATTGATATTCGTCCCCTGGACAAATATCAAATATTAAAGTAAAGGATTAAACAGAAAAGATATAAGGAGAATAAAGGGAGATAATAAGGAGAGATAAATAAGAGATACATGTACAAGTTTCTATTTTCAAAGACACATGAATGAAACACATTAATGTCAGAAACTTTGTGCAAGAGAGACAAACCAATGGAGAAAGGAATGAATAAGTAACTTTGTAAAACCCTGAGTGCTTCTTTATTTTTTAAAAAATAAATATATCATAAATTCTATAATGATAATGATAATTTTTCTGAATGAAATACTTGTACATAATATCTGATTATTTTGGATGTTACAGTAGAGATCATTCATTTTTTTAATAGAGATTACTGTTACAGTCATTCAAATTGAACTTAGAGAATATTATCACACTTCACATAATCAAAATTTATTGCAAGGATATTAAATAGTCTGAAAACAGAGAAAGAATTAAAATCTAGAAGAATGTGATAATGAAACAAAAGGTACACCTTGAAAGTATATACATACGTACATGTATAAAGACTTTTACTGAGTATAAGATGAGCTTGATGTTTCATGCATTTTTTGAAATTATCTTTTTTAGCAAATCAACTTACAATTAGAATAGGTTCCTGATAAAAAAAATTTCACAGTATCTCAAAAGTCGATTTTTAACAAAATCATATATTTACTCCACCTCTAACTAGAAATCATTTTATGACAACCTCAAGCTAATACTTTTAAACACTTCTAGCTAATTCTACCTTCCTCTAAATTAATCTGAAATGATTCACTCGAGTATAAATACAAGAACTTCGTTAGTTTAATGAGAAAACTGGCCCCTACCTTCTCCCCACTCATCGTCATTGTTGTTCTCCTCGTCGGAGTCCTGTCTGGGAGGAAGGCCCTGAGCCAGTAGGTTCCTGGCCCGAGGAAGCTGAGGTTCGGGCTCACTCTTCTGAACCTTTGGCAACTGAGGTGAGGGTGTCCTGGGGGGTGGGGATGGCTCCCTGGGGGGTGGGGAAGGTTCCCTGGGAGGAGGGGAGGGTTCTCTAGGGGGAGAGGAGAAGGTTGGCCCACTTGGTTCTGGTTCAGCAAAACTACGCTCTGGTTTGGGGGGATTTGTGGGTAGCTGGATTGGTTGTTTTCTCTGCACTGGTTCTTCCTCCTGCTGCTGTTGGTTTAGGAAACCATGTTGGATTTTTCTGTGAAAATAAATATATTTTATTTTTTATGCCTTAAAGCAAAATGATCTTGGTAAATACATGTATATGTAGTATTAAAAGTCTTTTCTTAATCTGAAATATTTCAGTTTTTCTGAATCCAACACCTTTTTCAAGAGGTGCAATGACCTACTATATTAATTAAAGGGAAAACAGAAAAGCTTATCTCCATATCAAATATTATTACATATCTCTAACCTGCATTTCTAGGGGACCACATCTTTAAAGAACTATATGCGGTATATTGCATATGTTTGCCCCCACAAAAGTCAAATTTTGAAAACTTCCTGAAATGTGCTGAATTCAATAAATTGTACGAGAAATATAAATTAACAGAAAATATTATAGTTCCAGAGCAGTGTATTCACAATTTCTGTTTTTGTGACGTCACAAACTAGTCTGATTTAATATTCTTTTTTAGAAAGAGGACAAAATGGACAAAATTTCAACAATTTAAGCTTTAAAATTTATAGAGCGCATGTGTGTTCAGGAACAATATTGACATATTTCATTGATATTATCATTCTACACATTATATCAAAATATTTATCCTGAACACACATGCGCTCGGTGACTTTTCTTTAAAATATCGACGAAATATGTACATTTTTCTGCAAAATTCATAAAAAACTGAAATTTACGTCATATTTGTGACGTCATTACGTACATATGACGTCATTACTTATGAAATTATTCAGTGCTTTGATGTCAGCATATACTCCCCTGTTTAAGGACTTAATTAAATATTACTCCATCAAAGTTTGATTTTGGGGGCAAATGTTGGTTAATACCGCATATAGTTCTTTTTCGATATTACCCTTATTAAATTGTCACTCACCAACAAATTTAATTACATGTATTTAAAACATGAATAAACATTGAGGTCATGAACAAAATTAAAGTCATCAGTTTTTGTCCTGTCTATTTCATCTACAAACTGATCAATTATCTAACATTCACTTCTTCAGTTAAGGGTAAAATTTTCCTATCCAATACCCTGACATAATATGGCAGATCAATAAATCTAACCTAGGGGGTGGAGGGGCTCTGTATGCTTGCTGATCATCGGTCTCTGATTCTCGTCTCTTGAACAAGGCTCTGGCATTGGCTGTACTACTACTGGTCAAACGGGCAGCTTCCTGTGGGAAAAAAATACAAATATAGGTCATCATTACTTACACAAAAATAAATGTTATGAGCAAAAAAGTGACTAGGACCATACTTACAATGAATGACACAAGAAAGTCTGAAATGTGACTTTAACAATACATTGACTTATCTAGCAAATCAAAACTGATAAACTCAATTTTGAAAAAAAACATGTCATACTAACACATACTAGATAAATGCAATATGGCTGTAATTGATTATTTCAAATGGTCATCTATCTACATAAATGTGACGTATATTCATTGTTTGAAGTCATTTCAGTTTCTATCAGTTTGAAGTTGTCCTAATCAGAATTTCAGCCCGTGTCAGACTTACAGCTGCCCTCTCCTTCCTGATGGCCTCACTTCGGCGACCTCTCTCCTCCTCCTCTTTGAAGGCCTCCTGCTGCTGTTGTTCCTACAGAAACAACCATAGACAAAAAACGTATGAAAATCTTCGACATTTATCTCTGTGAAGTGAAAAGAAAATACCCAATTTCCTTTCTTCCAAATTATCATGTTACAAACATTTTACATTTATCATTATTTTTTTTAGCAATCATGTTGTTATAAGCATGGCTGATGGTCAATTTGTTGATTTCAGTTATGTTCTATTTTCTCCCTTTCCTCCCTAGGCGAGTGTAATTTGTTTCAAGCTGGTATGCTGAATATGAACTGTTACATTTACTTAATATTTAAATCATTAATTAAAAATAAGAAAAGGAATAAAGAGTAAGAAATTGAAGAAAGGAAACGAATTTTAAAAGTATTTTAAACGGAACCAGAAGTCTCTGTCGAGACTGAAGCTCTACTGGTTTGTACTTATAGCAAAGGAAGAGAAAAGTACTTAAGCAATTGGGAATTGAAACTTTACAACAGCAATAAATAGAACAATGATCCTTGATAAAGTCTCTTTATGTTCTTAGTGTAGTCTACTTGTGTGCCAAGTTATATTGAAACCAGACCAAAACTGTAGGAGGAGTAGCATTTTGAAACAATTTTACAGAAATTTCTATTTTTAGTAACCACGACAACACCGTTCATGGAAATCAAAAACCGATAAACCTAATTATGTATCTTAGTGCAGTCTACTTGTGTGCTAAGTTATATTGAAATCAGACCAAAACTGTAGGAGGAGTAGCATTTTGAAAGAATTTCACAGAAATTTCTATTTTTAGTAACCACAACAACACGGGAAATCAAAAACCGATAAATCTAATTATGTATCTTGGTGCAGTCTACTTGTGTGCCAAGTTATATTGAAATCAGACCAAAACTGTAGGAGGAGTAGCATTTTGAAAGAAATTTCACAGAAATTTCTATTTTTAGTTACCAAAGCAACACCGTTTATCAAAATTAATAAAGTGCCGCGCCACAGCATGATACGCCCGTCAAAAAAATTACAATTTTCTTGAACAGTTTAGGTGCAAGAAAATCACATCAAACTTGCCCGTGATTCTAAGATTTCGATGATTTTTCCATTCCTTAGAATATTTATCCATCCCCTGTGATGTAGGCATCAATTATAATAAATATTACATAACTGATAGATTTCTGTGCTGGTTGTGTTAGACCTTGTCAAATGCCCATCATCAAATTAGTCTTAACAACTTAATCTATACCAAATTAATTTTGAAAAAAAAAGGCTGGCCATCAAATGACATATGTTATAAACTGACCAGCAGTTCTTCTGTCTAATCCCCAAAGGGTACAGATAAGAGACAGCTAGCCTTCCTACATTGAACTCATTAATTAATCTTTAACTGGATGCTTGTCTACTCATTACTACCAAGAGATGAATGGGTCTGCACTATCTACTATAAATTTTGTTTAAAAACATATAAAATACTCAAAGATTTTTTTTTTGTTGAGATTTAATTTCCAACAGGTTTTAATATGTAATTCATATGGACATGCTGATTCCACCCCACCCCATAAAATTAGTTTTTAAATAAATAATATTACATAATATCAGATTAGTCTACAATGCAATATCAAATTAGTTTTAATTACTTTTCATCAAATTAAGCTAGTCAACAAGAGCTATAGCCTATTTTTAATCAAACAGGCTTACCCATTTGCCCAATACTCAAGGGACAGATAATACCAATGCTCTGGCAGTTAGCTCCTTGCACTCAAAACCCATTAATTTCTCTCTAATTTGACATGCAATTTTCTGTTATCAAAATTCTTCTTGACCAGTGCTTGATAATTACACTCAAGGGAGAGGTAGGATTTCTCTAACATACATTATATTTGTTATAGATAAATGCTGTCAAGTATATGCTTTAATAAAATAAGTATTTTCTTGATTTAACACTTTTTTAATAAGGACAGTGCAATACTCTTACATTATTTGGGATGTGTAAATAAACAGTAAAAAGACATATTTTTTTTTTAATTTCACTTAAATTAAAGGTCACAGTGACCTTGAAATAGGTCGCGACACACCTTCTACCTAAGACGCATAAACTGGCCAAGTTTGATGATTGTAAGTCTTATGGTTTTCTTGTTATGGGCCGGAAAGGATTTTTCCATATTTGGCTATAACTTCTTAATTAAAGGTCAGAGCGACCTACTTTTTGTGCGCGACACACCTTCTACCCAAGATGCATCAGATGACAAAGTTTGATATTCCTAGGCCTAGTAGTATTAAAGTTATGAGCCGGAAACGAAAAAGCTAACAGACAGACGGACAGACGGACAGACGGACAGACGGACGGACACGAAGCCTATAACATAATACGTCCCGTCTTAAGACGGGCGTATAAAAACCGATAAAAATAATTATGTATCTTAGTGTAGTCTACTTGTGTGCCAAGTTATATTGAAATCAGACCAAAACTGTAGGAGAAGTAGCATTTTGAAAGAATTTCACAGAAATTTCTATTTTTAGTAACCACGGCAACACTGTTTAACGAAATCAAAAACCGATACACAGAATTATGTATCTTAGTGCAGTCTACTTGTGTGCCAAGTTATACTGAAATCAGAGCAAAACTGTAGGAGGAGTAGCATTTTGAAACAATTTTACAGAAATTTCTATTTTTAGTAACCACGACAACACCGTTTATCGAAATCAAAAATCGATATACAGAATTATGTATCTTAGTGTAGTCTACTTGTGTGCCAAGTTATTCTGAAATCAGAGCAAAACTGTAGGAGGAGTAGGAGCATTTTGAAAGAATTTCACAGCAATTTCTATTTTTAGTAACCACGCCAACATCGTTTATCGAAATCAAAAACCGATAAATAGAATTATGTATCTTAGTGTAATCTACTTGTTTGCCAAGTTATATTGAAATCAGACCAAAACTGTAGGAGGAGTAGCATTTTGAAAGAATTTCACAGAAATTTCTATTTTTAGTTACCACAGCAACACCGTTTATCGAAATCAAAAACCGATACACAAAATTATGTATCTTAGTGTAGTCTACTTGTGTGTCAAATTATATTGAAATCAGACCAAAACTGTAGGAGAAGTAGCATTTTGAAAGAATTTCACAGAAATTTCTATTTTTAGTTACCACAGCAACACCGTTTATCGAAATCAAAAACCGATACACAGAATTATGTATCTTAGTATAATCTACTTGTGTGCCAAATTATATTGCAATCGGAGCAAAACTGTAGGAGGAGTAGCATTTTGAAAAATTGTTTACAGACAGACGGACAGCTAGACAGACAGACGGAAGGACGACGGACGCATTACTATCGCATAAGCTCTTCTGGTCTCTGACCAGTAGAGCTAAAAATGGAGATTCTCTCTAAGTGCTTGTGGTATCCAATATTTTCTGTCACTTAAAAATACATTTGTATAAAGTGCCAACATATACATGTATTTGTAATAGGCAACTTCTATATTTGTTGTACAGATCTCAGGAATGGCAGGAGTACCAGGTTCTATGTGCTGAATGACAGTGCAACTCGTATCTTACTTCACACCATTTCTTAGTTGACTTTGAAACTCTTTAATTAAGCATGGTCCCCAATGCATAAATTTTCTTGTGTGTATATTGCTTTCTTTGAGTTTACATGCAAGTGTTTCACATATACTGCTACCAAAACCTTTTTAATATTGCTCTAATTTATCATGCCTCTTTTCACATATAGTGTGCTTGTACAAAAATTGACAGTAACGTTTCAAACCTGTAATTCAAAATTTTGACTATCAATTATATCATAATTCAAAAGGTTGAGATTGATGTGTACATTTTGCTTAGAAAAAATGTAGCTGTTTTAAACATGTTAGAAGGAAAAAATAATCATAATTAGTAAAGATTTCAATGAAAGCAAAAGAAGCGACAGCTATATCAGCCTATTCTTAATTTTCTTATATTTTCACAGAAAATGTAAAATTCCAAATATATTCTCAATTAAGAATACATTTTCATTCTCCTCATAATTTCCTATTTGAGGCCTTCATTTTTCATGCTTTATAACAGCTGAAATACATGAATATATTCCTTAAAGAATCTTGAGACATATACATTCATGAATATATCAATTTTTTTTCATCATGCAGAAAGTGTTTAATGCAAAATTAATGGCCATGTTGCATGGTTGTGAAATATATATTCAAAGGGAAACAAATTTGAGTACTTGTGTACTTACACTAGACTCCTCATTCTATATGTAAATGAATTGGTAACTGATAACAAACACAAACTACATGTGCAGCTAAAAAACTGTACTATCTGTGGAGTGAGGATACAAAAAATATAAAGAAATTTTTAAAAATAAAAATTGTGTTAAATGTTATTAAAACAGCTTCATCATTGACATATGACTTGTTCATCTAAATATTGAATCTACTACCATAGTCTCCCTATTAAGTGTCCAGGGTGCTTAGAAAATTGTCACAAGGGAGTAGTTATTTGATAGTCATATTGAAATTATATTTAAGTCCTAACCCTACCCTACAGAAGTTTTGTGGATTAAACAACTCGCTCAAGATCTTGTCAATCACCCTCATTCTGTTCACAAAGATCTATGGCATAATCAATTCGATCAAACATTTCTGATTTACAATTACTTACTCATAGTCTTTTGCATATAGATTTAATTGATATGGAGAATATTGACGAGATCATATGATATAAAATTAATAAAGGGAAGTCTTTATTCTCTGGCAATCAGGAAATACTCCAGAGGGTGCTTATAAGGATAGGGGCCGGCGTTTAATAGGGAGAATATGGTATCACTATGCATAAATACAATTATAAATCACAGAAAGAGGAAGAAATCAAGCATTACACAAATATCTATCGAATATTCGCTTATGTTTATAAGAAGGAAATTTTCTGCATCAGACAGAATGATTTTTTTCCTTTTCTTTACTTTTAATCTACATATCAATCATTGAAAATGAGTGCTTTATATTTGAATGTCATGATAACATTTACATGAAGAATACAACAGAATAATATTACATAAGCAGGCATGGCTGAACTATTAAATCAATAAATTATAATACACAAAACACTCCAGCCTTTCAGCAAATTTTTAAATTGGTGTCATGACCAAGATAAATATATAAATGCACTTCACACCAAAGTAAAGGGAAACACAAATCACTCACAACACTCAAGACTTAATCAAAATAATTGATAGTTTTTCCACATACCCATCTCTTCTTTTGTTCCTCGCGCTCGATTTCACTCGCCCTTCTTTCTCGGACCTTCTGTTCTCGGGCAGCTTTCAATTTCTCGTTCACGATTTTGTCTCTTTCCTGGGCTTCTCGGGCCTACAAAGATGTGCAAATTATAAGCTTTAAAACAATCTGACAGGAAATCAATGAATGAGAAAAGAAATTAGTTTCTTTATCATGATTATTTTTGAGTCTTGAAAAGCAGTTGAATACATTGTAATTTATAATGCTGAGCATATTTTATTTACATGTACTAGCTGAATGACTAAATTATATATTTATAGTATTCTAATGGAACTTTATTTTTACTTATAAAAAATTTATTATCTATGTTATTTTCTTTTGAGATAAATAATACAAATGTCTAGCAATTAAACTATATGTAAAGGATATTGAAGCAACTACAACTAAAACAGAAAGATGAAATATATATATTGCAGGGCTTTCAATATGGATAATTATGTGCTACATGTATTTGTGCAGGCACAATATTTTGGTAGGAATTTGTTTGGAAAATATGGTTGTGATATATAGTCAGGGTCTGGAAGGATTTGTTGTTAATGAATCATAATTCAATGTACATTTATCAATTATTTTTTCTCTTGTTTATCCTTTAAATTCACATGCTATTAAAAAGTTATGTTGATCACAAATATTTGATGCATTCCAAATATAAAGCATACCACTGGTCTCTGTGCTTTGACATGCTAGAGGGAACCTAAAATTTGTACTCTGCAAAGTGTACTTAATAGTTTTAGAGAACAGCATCGAGATCGGTACATATATAATCAATCTGGGTACAATATGATGATAAGGAATTCAAAATACACAAAACTCTGCCAATATCATTCTGATTATAGTGAAAGCATACATTAATCTCAATGCAACTGTCTAGTAATAAATCTCAATGCAACTGTCTAGTAATTAAGTGTTTGCAAAATCAAAAAAAAAATTGTTAATGACACATAATATGTAAAGTCAAAAGTAAACAATAATAGTCAATGTTTTCAAACTAAATCAAAGTAACACAAATGACAATTAAGTCTATTTTGAGCAGCAAGAACATACACGAAAGAATGTTACATAAAATTTATGTAAAATATTTGCTCTATGACCCAAATTTCATAAGGTACTTCTTACATTTGTATTTTGTGTTATATTCACTGGAATCTCATGTGGTTAATTTTGTTAGTTTCAAGTAATTGTAAAGCCTGTTGAATCTGTTTTAATGTACATGAAAACACACAAAAAAGAGCTAAAAAATTTGGTAAACTTTTTTTTTGTAGAAATCTCTATAAAAAGTTGCTAAAACTGACCCATAACCATGGACCACATTTTATGAAACTTAAATAGTTAAAGTTCTATTAACATTAACAAGAAAATTATTTCATAAAAAAATTACAAGAAAGGGTAGCTAAGTTTATAGATTCATAAGCGCAAGAAAATATTTTTTGATATACTGTATACAGGGTTATTTCGCCCCGTATTATTTTCGCCCTTTCGCATTTGCAAACAATTTGGCACAGCTTCAAATTCGCCCAGTCACAGTTTCGTTTAAGAAATTAAATAGTGTTCTTTAAATTCACCCCGTTTTAAATTCGCCCATACGTAAGTAGGGCAAAAGGGGCGAAAATAAAACGGGGGCGAAAATTTCCTTGTATACAGTAGTCTGCTAGTAATACTTTTTGATATGCTACACTAAAACACAGCCTGTGAAAATATACATCACACAGTTATAAATTATTCACTGCAGCACCGATATACTATACAGACACCTAGGTACGTGTGTACCCAGCATGCTATGGCTACCTCTCTTTCCTTCCTCTCTCTCTCTAGTTCATGTAGTTCCTTCTCTCGTCTCTTTTTCTCCTCCACGATACGCTGCTGCTCCTCTTTCTGAATAAGTACAAAAAAAAAACAAAACGGGTAAACAAGTACATAGGACAGATATGAAAGACTCATTACTTTACCTTAATAATTTTCTTTTTCCCTTCATTATTTGCCCTTGATAAAAGTGATTTTTTAAAAAGATTTTGCATTTTTGTAATGTTTGCAGTTGATGTATTTTTTAATAATAAATTTCCTTTTGTTTAAATGAGTAAGCTACCTCTGTCTCTGCCCAGAACTTGTCCCGTGCCTTACTGTTGATGTCTTTGGCTGCTATTGTTCTCTGATAGACGGAACCCTATAAGTAATGGCATCACAAACAAAATGTATATGAAAACAGCAATCCTGTTACTCAAAATCACCACTCTGTTTAAATGCATTGATATAAAAACATGAATGTATCATACAAATAATTATTACCTGAAAGAAATGTATCAATAAAATATATAATAGTTGAGGATCTTGCTGTGGGGAAAGGTTGGATAACAAGCTTATTACTGGGGGAAAAAAGTGAATTTATAAATCTGGAAAGGTAATTTGAATTTGCTGTAATGGAAGATAACAGTGTTATACCACTGGACCAGGGGAGTCCTCTTTTTTGACATTTTTAGCAGGTTTCTGGGGTGGGGCCTTGGGTTTCTCCTGGTGAATGCTGTAGTTTGCCCCCGAGGCTTTTGCCACTTTCTTTACAATATCATCAGCATCTACATCCTCCTCTGTCCTGGCATTCACAGTCACATGAACTCCCTAAAATAATAAAGGAAATTTATAATGCACAAGATTATTCAAATTGTATGGGAGAAAGATTTCCTTGTTTACTCATAGATTTAAAACAAGATAATATTCTTTAATTACTTCCTGCAAGACACACTGAATCATTAAAAATTACAAAGTAATTATCTAGAAATTAATATGAATTTAATTTAATGCAGTGACAGTATTTTGATGCATTCTGGAGACTATAATCATGATAATACAATTCTGCTATGCAGTACAGTGTATTTTTTTATATATATGATATTCTAAAACAAGAGAAAATCTGAAGAGCATTTCAAAATAATTTCACACAACCTGGATTTCTTTGTACAGAATCCGACATCCTATACACAGTCTATTCTCATTAAAATGTAAATTTCTGACATGATAAAACAAATACACTTTATCTGTAACCATGGTCAATGCTACACTAATACTTCAATATGAGAATACACTTGTGTCCTTACTGTTACAACAACTTACTCTGACAAATGCTGCCACATCTCGTAGATGACTTGTACACTTGAATTTCATGGATTCAGGTGCTGCTTCTCCTTGCTGAAGTAAAGTCAAAATCATAAAATAGTTTCGTTCAGTACTTGCTACCAGTCTACCACACACCAAGCTCAATACACATAACAAGTGGATTTTTCTTTTTTTTTTAAATTCTTTTTTATGTGCCAAATTCAAGAAACTAGAATATAGGATAACATATACAGTTGTCTGAGTACAATGTGTACCTATCAGGTATGCATTGGAAAATTTAATTCAACATAAATTTTGAACACTCAAAGTAAATAATTATGTCTTACCCAGTTAATCAAGACATATTTTGGAAGGTTGGTGTTAGGGTCCAAAACTTTACAATAGGCATACATAATCTTAGAGCTGTTTAGGTCATCAGTCATTTCTTCAATTCCCCCATCTACAACCAAAATATCTCACTGAACACTCTTAAATGTAAACGTACTTCTATTTGCAACATTTACAAAAAATATAGCAAAAAATTGTTTGTATAATTTTAGTATGAAAAAGAAATCCTTTTTTTCTTAAAAATAAGTTTCTTTGGGTTTAATGACAATCGATAAGTATATATATAAGGTCTACCCCTCTATACTATAAATCAACGTATGGAGGGGTAGACCTATATATAATGTACTTATCTTTCGTCATTTACAGATTGAGAATGACATAGGGTGTGTCTGTGGAAGTTTCATTTTATTTTAGTAACTAGTGTTCTGCTTACCACCAGTTCCAACAAGCTTGAGGACAGCAGTCTGTCCTTCATACCCCATGACCATCCTAGAGAAAGACAGATATACCATGCAATTAATGATTATAAATTTATAAATTTGTGTGCATCCTAATTAATCTATTTTCATGATTAACTCAAACTCATTAAGCATCAGATCTATATGTAATTTATATATTAAATCTCCCTTCTCTTTTATTCTCTGTAAATTATTGAAGGTATCGGTTACTAATTTTAAATCACATTAAGTGAGATAATTTGAAACATCCTGTTGTGTCATGTTGTATAGATCTCAAGATGTATTTCCTCACTGTCCTCCAACATTTTCAATGATCAAAATGATAGAATTTTAGAAAGGAAGTTTGTATGAAACAGTGACAATTACTTAAACAAGTCAACTGATTACTCATTTTGCCCCCCCCCCCTTCTCAATTAAAAAAATAAAAAAAAAGATAAATCTGATTCAAAACAAATTTTACTGAAAACAGATGTTCAAAATCTAAAATTGAACCTTTCTTTTATCAATCATGCACAGGGCTTTCAAAAAGATTTGAACAAGGTGGTACTTTATCAAAAATTGTGGGGGGTCCGGGGGCATGCCCCCCCGGAAAAATTTTGAAATTTAGAAGCCACCAGACAGCATTTCCTGGTTTCTAACACATAGAAGTATGCTGTTATCAGTGTTATTTTTATGCCATGTTTCCAAGTTTATTTTTGGTCAATACACTTTACATGTGAAATTTAACTGGATGTGGAATTACATAGAAAAATTAGTTATTTGATAACAATAAGATTTAGGTAAAACTTCTTAGTTTTATGCTATATTTGTTTATATATATTTGTTCAAAAAATTTTGCAAGGTTTGAGTTGTAAGTGGTATGTTTTAAATATAAAAAAGGAAATGGATATTCAAAATTTAAATTTAATAAAAGAGAAATGAAATTGTATTTGCATTAAATGAAATTCATTTCTGTTCTACATTAAAGTGCAGATTAAAAAAAAATTAGAAGAAGCACTATATGTTTCATAGCATGTACCAATAAATTCAGCATATTTTTCATTTACTGGTACATGTACATATAAAATAATATACATGTGTAAATTACTCAAAGATGACATAAAATTGGAGACAAAAAATTTTTAGGTATGACTCCCTCACTTTACTGGATATGGTTACAATTCAAAATTCTCTTGACCACTAGGAAACTGCTGAATCAAAGAATTAAATGTATGGCAAAAGAAATAGTTTCTGTTTTATGTCCTTTTGTTTCATCAGAAAGTTGCATATTTAAGACTGTAAGAAATTTATATCGTCAACAAATTTGAAGAGTTGAGGCTATCAAAATGTACAGAGGTAGTCAAAGAACTACCTATTGTTCATGTCGGTTTCTCTATCGGTCAATTGTGTTGAAGACTTTCCGCGGTCTAGTTCCTTGTATCTTAAAAATCTTTTGTGAAACTCATTACCATGGCTTTAAATTGACACTTTTATTTCTGACACCTGGATTCCTATTTTTATTTTCTTTTTGGCCGTATTTATTTAAAATATATCCATAGTCATTAGCTTTTGTCAAAATCAGTAACGAAGGAATTTGACGGATGAAAACAGATATTTTCTCTTTTGTTTCATTTATTCAATTAGATAACATTACGGACTAAGAATATTACAAAGCTTGTGTTGGTAGGGCCTATCGTATTTTTACGCGATTTTTTTTTTCTCCACTGAATATTTTGGCCTTTCTCCAACCGGGTAAAAGTACCGGGTACCGGCAGATTTTGAAAGGCCTGCATGATGCACCACTGTGAAGGCGGCGCATCTGTCAAACATCTAGTGTCAACAAAACCTAGACTAAAGCGGAAGCTTGACTAATAACCATTACAATGCAACAAAATGCGCCATTTGCAATACCCTAAGTATTATTGTTTTTTAAAGTAATTCAAAATACCAATCTGTAGACGTCTTCTCATCCACAACATCGTTGTATGCCTTTAGAAGGGCGTCTTTATTCTTTCGGATGTCTATCGCCATCCTCCTTTTTCCGCATGTGCCTGAGTACTACGTAACTATTTTCTGTGCACATAATCACATGACTCATTTTGTTTACGACGGAAGGAAGTTAACCAGAACGTCAACAAAGGAGAAGCAGAAACTGCTGTTAAAATTGGTTGACAGGTACTGTACGAAAACATAGAATTGAGTTTTAAAAATTAATGATGCTATTGAGAATTTTGGTATCTTGTCGCTGAAAATATGATCGGAAGTCGACACATTATGCGACATAATATTCATGTCAGCAATCTGTGCCCGCAAGCGCGCGTAAAAAATGTGTACTCCTGTCATTCATCAGAAAATATTGTAGACTTGTACATGTACTTTGAGTAAGCATTTTGATATGAGGGGAATTTTAATGACATCATGGATATGCTCGAGGCGTAATTTTATCAACTTGGACTTGTATCGAGCTGAATTTAATAAAATAGGCATATATGATGCAAAACCCCATGCTGTGCTGCACGTGCACTATGTCATGCAAAGTTATTTTTACAAAAGGGTTCACATTATTATAAACAACAATGATTTTTTAAAATGCTATTTCAAATCTTTCATTAACATTGAGTAACAGATGTTTATATAAAATAAAATTTATCATAGATTTAAAAAAATAGGTTTAAAAAGCTATAGGCATTCACATTAACTGATTAATGCATGCATCAAATTCCATCAATCATGTCACTAGTTAAAAGTGCAAGCTAAAACTCATCAATAATCACCAGTTCCATTTAGGTTGTTTGAAAGATGATTGGTTTTTTTTGTTGATTAAAACTAGGACTTTCAAGTTTCAACTATGTGTAATTTAAATGATCATTATCTACAATTTATGTATACTTATAAAAACAAAGTACATGTATATATACAATTCTTATAAAGATCTTGAATAAATTATGTTGCTAGCCTAGTCTTGTCAAACGAAAATTGAATTATCTTTTGTTGATGGCCCTGAAGAGGTTGTTGTCCTAAAGCATTGACCAGCCTATCAGTGGTCATTTAAACTGGGTTCAATACACCGAAGTAATATTGTATAACGTGTTTATGAAGTGAAGTACACATAAATACACTGGACGCCTCAGGTGCCTTGTGGATATTTTGTTACCTGTATTTAATAAAAGATAGTCAATATGTACATAATGCAGACATTTCCCCAGTAATATTTATTTTAGTGAAATTTATATAGACATATAGGGGAATTTGCTTTAGAATTCTGTAATATAATTAAATATTACTATTTCTAGGTTAATATCTTCCTTAATAATCTTATTTTGCTCAATTTCAGCATGTTCAGGTGCTCTGTCTGTATTGAGAATTATTAAAGTGCTTATCATGGTAAATATTTTTTAAACCATCTTTTATATCATAGATAGACACAAAAGCCTCTCTAAAATCAACTATTTTTAGACATTTTGGGACAGGTTTTGAAGGTTAAATTTTTTTGTACTTTGAAAGACACTGAGGTCACCTGAAGATCATTTATTGAAGGTCATGCAGTACAGGATATAAAGAGTTCCAAGGGAATTAAATTAGATACCAGAAAAGATAATATACTCAACTGAACATAATTCCTTGACTTAGCTCGTAAGCTTTTACAGTGAATTAGTGACAGCAATTTTCTACTGTGTGGGATGAAGACAATCCACTGAAAATAAAACACAACTTAAGGCTCTTTGTAGAGACATACTCAGATTTATTTCTTTTCTATTTCACATTTGGGGAAATGGCAAATCATACCAAAAGCTACATCCATGTTAAAATAATGCTTAAATTAGGAGGCTAATCACTCATTAGTAAGATTTTTGATTCAGTATATTTCATTTAGTTGGATGATATGGGTACTAGCATTGTCATCCAGAGCATGTAGAGTATTTGTAGAATAAATAAAAACTTCTGTTTACTTTGGTGATGAAAAGAGTCATTCAAGTATTCTTAATTAGAAGAAGAAACGATTTAAATGGCAGGCGCATGTGTATTTGTAAAAAGCACACCTTACACTGGATAACCTTACCCCAACTGCAGGTAAATCTATAAGACTAGTGCTTTTGATGCAATTGAGTAACTGGGTGCAAAATAAAATATGTTCAACAATTTAAACATTTATCAGTTTCACTGTATTTTTTTCTCCTCTTATTTTATGCGAGTTAAATTTATAAATGAAAAAGATGAGGACAGCGAAACAGTGATATAGATCTCAAAAATCTTAAATAATACAAATTTGTGAAGAGGGTGTAAAACACGCACTCCTGATGTGGGATCAGGTGCCCAGGAGGGGGTAAGGTCCCATTGTTGACCGGTCACACCTGTTGTGAGCCCTGTGCACTGATTAGGTAGAGGGAACAATTCTGTAGTCAAATTCACTCAATCGAGGCACATCAAAGTTTAATTAATTATAGACACTTCATAATTTAATGCAAAAGCTAATAATATTTGTAAATTTAATGGTTATTAACACCATTTTCCCCCAATATTTTGAACTGTTGAAAATCAAAAACATTTTAATCATGTTAATTAGTTCTACATTCTGATGTAGGTTAGAGCAATATATATAGAACACATTTTTTGCACTGTTTGAAGTGTCATCATTTTTATCTGCCTATTCATTATGTCATCAGGAGATCATATTACAGAGAATCATGCGGCAGATAGGACTTTAGACTTTGTGAGGCTTCCAGAAGCACTTTAGTTGGTGTCCAGTCAACTCGTACACAAACCGTCTCGTACACAAACCGAGTCGTACACAAAAAGTCAACTCGTACACAAATCAGAAGTCAACTCGTACACAAATCAGAAGTCAACTCGTACACAACGTTTTATCTACAATAGTTATGAATTATTTTTTATATAAGTAATGTATTCTCTAGAAAAATGAAATAAGGACAAGGAGAAGTGTTAAATTTTTAGATTTTTTCATGAACACTAGCGGTTTTATAACATTTGAAATCGACCGTGGCTTCTCTTCTTGGGAAGTGTTTATCCTGCCGTAAAACTGTCTATAGTAAAAAAAAAAAAAAAACTTTTTTTTTTTAAATTTGATAATTTTTTTTTAAATTGTATGCAATGATATACAATATACATAAAATTTCTAAATTTCTTACCTAAAATTATTTCAAGTAATATTTATATCCACACATTACTTGCATAAAAGCCGAAGACTAATTCTAAAATGTAAAATTCACATATAAAATTCACATATTATCTTGTGGTGATGTTTAAATCAAATTCAATTATATTGAATGATCTGATTATGTTGTTTAATAAGATATTTTAATTTACAATTAATTTTACAGAATAAAAAAATCGGCACTTCTCATTTCTGTATCAAATAAATATATAATTAAATAACGAAAAATGTGTAGGAGTTGACGCCCAAGATTTACGTAACAAAAAACCATATAATAAGAAAAAAAAACAATCTGTGCATAAGGTATAGGTAAAATCAGCGGCATAAAAAGATTAAAATGTACACAAAAAAACCTCTTTGTGTACGAGTTGACTCGTAAATTTTTTAACACTGAGGAAAACTATACATTAAATCGCATAGGGAACTATGTACAAATGACATTAGTTTGTGTACAAGTTGACTTTTGATTTGTGTACGAGTTGACTTTTGATTTGTGTACGAGTTGACTTTTTGTATACGAGTTGTTTTGTGTACGACTCGGTTTGTGTACGAGACGGTTTGTGTACGAGTTGACTGTAAACCCTTTAGTTATACCAGCATACGCAAGCTGTGGAATTTTACCTGTATTTTTAGACCAGGCTATTACTATATCTCTCTGTTTTAACAGTAAACAGATGCATAAATTACATGATAAAAGACAGTTGAAGTATGGCCTAAAGAAATTTGCTGATTTAAAATGCCAAAAAAAGGGGGAATCTTTAAGTGCTTTTTAGAGAAGATGAACAGAAGCAACCAATTGTTGATTTCATTTAGTTATTGCAGATAAGCTATATCTATTGACATTTTATGACTTCATTTTCCTTCTGGCAATGTCTCTTCATAAGATAATATGTATTTTATTTCCCCGTTAATACCAAATCAATGGTTGATAATTAGTGTTTATGGGGAGGCTTTATATAAACAAAACTATAAAAAAAAAACATTAACTCATATTCTTGGTAGGATTATTGATATTAGAAAAGAGGTACACTATATTTACAAAATCCATTTGTTGATTATTTCTATCATGTACTAATATATGTCATTAATTATTAATGCAGCCAGTCCCCCCCCCCCCCCCAAAAAAAAAAAAAAAAAAAAAATCCTGACTTTGAGATACTTGCATTTACAATGCTTACCAGTATATTTTATTTGTTTTAATTTTACCCTTTCTACATGTCATTAAAGTATGATATTTTACCCACTCTTGTTTCTCACTACACTGTGAAGCTGTTGCCACAGGGCTCTCACATATCTCACAAGGTGAGCTCAGATTGCTCAACTATATCACAATGGGATAGGGGAGCACATTTACTTTGATGTGAGATATCTGCAAGTTGTTCTGCAACTTAAGTTACAGAATCATTCAGATATCTCGCAAATATCTCACATATATCTCAGAACACAGGCAGATTCACTTGTAATCTTATGGTAAATGGATTTTAAGTTTTTAACCTTAAATCAGAGCTTACTTCTAGCAAATGATAATACATTGTTGAAGCAACATTTTTCAAACCTGAAATTCACTTTACAATACATCAAATAGAAGTAAGATATTACCGGTATATTTTTAGACTTGGCTAACTTCTACTCATGAATATTATATTAACGGCACTCAGGATGTAGTTTTGAAAGTTATTTTTCTGTTCCCTGTATAATTTACTAGTTCCAGTAATTTAAGGACCTTTATATGACTATGAATTCTTGGTAAGCTGTACACCTTTTCCGAATTAAATTTTAAGGAAATGCCAGCTGAAACAATATTTTTTTATTATTTTCTTTAAAAAATACGTACAAAAGACTTTTCAGTAAATCTAGTCATTCCAAACCTCTTGGTTAGGTGCATACCGATTTTCTGTTTAATAACATCTGTTGGAACTCTGATCTTACATGGTAAATTGAGAATATGTGTATCTTGGACAATAATTATCAGTAGGACAGGTATATTGTAAAGTACATGTAAGTCCACGGTTGCGTTTGCAGACTGTGTAATGAATTATTTTTCATGACGTTGATATACCGGTAGATGTTAAGAAGAGTATTTTAAGTGAAAGGTGAATATTAAAATACTTTTTAAAAAGATAAAGCTGATAAACAGTAAACAATTTTAAGATTAACATACACTAGAGGTTTATTTTTAAAGTATAATTAGCATGATTAAGACACAGATAACTGGTAAGGTATGTTTTTAGAACTACGGCTCAGAGTCTATTTCTAGGTTAATTAAACGTTATATGATTTATTTCCTCAACCCAAGTCAAGGACAGACTTTCATTATAGAAAAAAATATTTAAATATTAATATCTGAATAAATTATGATAATTTGTTTATTGTTTTGATACCCTTTGAAGTAAAGCTTATTATACAAACATAACAAATGAAAAGTATTATTAATCAACGGTTCTTTCTTAGACATTTATGATTGAATCTGAATTTCTTACAATGACAACTGAAGTTATTGATTTCACACAATTCATAATTGTGTCATTTACATGTTAGAGTGCTATAGCTTTTATTAACAAAATCAATGTTTTTGTATAAATTGAATATATTTACAAATTAACTTAAGGTACATGTAACAGCTGGAAGAATAATTGACTCCAGTAAAAAATTATCTTTGTATTAAAATGAGGTACATCGCATAGTTAAGAGTTGTAATGATTTTTAAGGCAGTTTTGATGGATTAGTTTTAATTTTCTGTGGACTTATGAGTGTCTGTTAGTGTACTTTTATTTTGCATTCTACTTTTTGAAGCCAGGTATTGAAAAAATATCCAAGTTTTTTAGCTCACCTGAGCTGAAAGTCAAGTGAGATTTTCTGATCACTCGTTGTCCATCGTCCATCCCTCTAGCTGTCTGTAAACTTTTCACATTTTCAAATTCTTTTCAAGATCAATTGGGCCAATTTTAAAAAAACTTAGTACAAAGTATCATTTGGTATCATTTGGTAAAGGAGTTTGAATTGTTAAAATAAAGGGCCAAGCCTCCTAAGTTACAAGGGGAGATAATCAAAAAAAGGACAAAATTATTGTGGGGTCATTAAAAAATCAAGGGTCAAAGTTACTAAGGTGAGCATTATGGCCCATGGGCCTCTTGTTTCTTTAAACTGCAGTAGACTGTCTTTTTTGAATCTTAAATCATCATTTTAAAATCAGAATGAATTTGATTAATAATTTTCTAAACTGGAGTTTATTCAGCTGTTAATTTCATGAATGATGAATTATAAGTTTGAAGGATGGTGACATATTGACATATTTCCATGGTTTTGATAAATTACGTCCAAACATTTATACATGTTATATGAAACCTATGTTTATGTTTTTATAAAAAGGTATTTACCTTAATTTTCTCTTAATTTGTTTTACTGTCAGAATGTACAGGCAAATACAGGTATATGTTTTCATTTTTGTACTTCCAGGGCCATGCTGAACATCTTAGGACCTTGACAGCACCAACAAAGCAAGTAAAATCTAAAAATCCTTCGACAATGGTGAACCGATCCCTAGAAGAGGGGAGTCAGTATGAGTACATTAAGTGTGTGGTGGTGGGGGACGCAGGGGTGGGGAAGACCTGCCTGATCTGTGCCTGGGCCTGCGGGACAAACTACACCCTGGAGCGACTCGTAAGGACCCCCTCCTCCTCAGTGTGGGCCATTGATCACTACCGCAATGACCAAGAGGTAGGGTACTAGGGTATACATATTTTATATACTTCTATGTCATTTCTAGAATGGTTGTCTGTGTATGTCTGCAGATGTAATTTTGTAAGAAGATTTGCACAAAAGGTGTAAGTAAATGGAGAGAAAATTATGTATTGCTGCTAAAGCAGACTTTCAACATGTTCAAATTGTTAAAAACATTTTATCAGAGTTAACAAATTAAAGGGTAATGAAGGGAGAATAAAATCTGTAGACTTTTTAATGATGCAAACCAAAAGTTTAATGAGGATTCAATTTTGAAAGTTTCAGAGTGCTGAGATTGCTAAAATTAAATATCACAATTTTTTTCTGCATTAGAGGTTACTATTATCTTGTTATGTGCTTTAAAATCATTAATTAAATTGGATCTTACTAAAATTTAATATAATTTTTAAGCAAAAATCACTACATATTATTTACATGTTGGTAAAATTCCACTTATAATACAGTTTACAAAATAATACTTCTTAAGAATCTACTTCTTGTTTATTGACAAAATTCTCCGAAATATGCCTGCATGAATTCTTAGAAAAGATTTTGTTGTTTATTCAGGTGATGGACAGGTCTTGGTGCAATGTAGATGGAGTCAGGTGTTCTCTGAAACTATGGGACACTTTTGGTTACCATGACAAGAACAGAAAGTTTGCTTATAGAGGGTAAGTTACATAATGCTGCAGAGAGACTCTATACATCACTGCTAACAAATTTAGGATTTATGTATGGTAATGCAGCAATGAGACTACTGAGTATCACAAATACTGTGCAGAAATATTGATCATGCAGTAAAAGCATTTTCTATTATTTAATTTTGAAGATTTAATTTCCTCCTTGAAAGGGAAATTAATCAGGGATTTATTGAATTGACAGTCAATTATCTTTTATTTTGATATGTATATCCTGCCAGATGTTTCTTCCTTGTTAATTTAATTACAATTTTAATTGCGTCCTTTTTGGAACCTAATTTTATATTGAGTAATGATTGTCATATTTGTTATTTTTGGGAACAAACTAATACAGATAAAGAGCACACCACTAAATTTTCAATTGTGTATTATTTGTGAGAAGACATTTCAGGTTATATTATGATATTTTACCTCAGCATCTTGATCTTGAAGTCTAAAACAGTTTTAAGGATCTTTAATTTTCCTTATATCTTTTATTACCAGTAATTAAAAAAAATAATTTTTTATTGTATGATGGACATGCGAAAAAAGGAAACACAGACTAAACAGTAAACATTTGCCATTATATGCTACCAACTAAAACAATGAAAGCAGTAGAACAGTTGTCTGAAATTATAGAATACTTTTCCATTTATTCATCGAATGCCTGAAAACTGTATCAGAATTCTTAAGTATATCTTCAATGCAATAATCAATCATAAAATTATCAATTATAATTGCCATAAGATATCATCTTGTTAGTGAAATTGATAATGGTAAACTGGTGATGAAATCAAAATAACATAATATCTGTTCATATAACACAGGAGAATTTGATTTAAAGAATGATTATTTTATAAATATTTCAGGTCAGACGTGATTTTGCTGTGCTTCAGTGTCGTGAAGCCGAGCTCACTAAGGAACGTGGAGAGGTTTTGGATCCCGGAGATAAAGAGCCGGTGCCCCGCCACGCCCATCATCCTGGTGGGGACCCAGGCTGACCTCAGATATATCTACAAGAATGAGAAATACAAGAACATGGACAAAGGCCTTCTATATAAGTAAGTGTGTTAGAATGAGGAAAGGGAGTTAACTCTGGATAAAGCACTGTTGTAAAAAAAAGTATTGAGAGAGTTGGCTATCTTTAGAAATCAAAAATGTAATTTTTAACCATGGTATTTTTATGCTAAGAAATATTACATCTGAAAAATTATATGTAAGCATTTTGTATTTTACATTTTATATTGAAAGCATAATTCGGAGCGTGGACACTTAATTGAACAAACTTTATCTCAACTCTGATAAAGTTTAAAGAGTCAATCATTCGAAATCCATTATTTAGAAGGTTTTGAAAAAAAAAAAATTTTATTATTAACCTTGTTTTTAATTACCTTTTAGGGCTGTGAGTGATGAGAGTATTTTACCTCCAAGTTGTGGGAGAGAAATGGCTGCCAGTCTAGGGGCCCCATACTACGAAACCAGTGTTCTGACAAAATATGGCATTGATGATTTATTCTTTAATGTATGCAGAGCCACTTTAATAGAGCGTCGCAACTTAAAATTCTGGAATCCACAGCTCAGAAGGGTGCAGTACCCCCTTATTCAGGCCCCCATGGAGATCCCCAAACCTGAGCTGCCAATCATCAAAAACCCTGGGCCCGCCCCTCACGAGGATTTATCAAAACTGCTTCAAGAAGATGGGGATGTCATATTTATTGTTCAAGGCAATCATTTTCGAGCTCACAAAATCTGCTTAACTATTGCAGAAAGTGTGTTTGAAGACATTTTCTTAAGCTCTTCCAAACCCAATGGAAGAGGTTCTCTTTCGAGGCAGAGTAGCATTGCGTCTGATAGTGTAAACAGTGTCAAGGAAAGCAAAGAGAATCTTATATGTGGGGCTCCACCACTCCCTGATATTTGTCTCCATGGCACTGAAGCCATGACTAATGGAAGCTGTCATCTGTTGAACTATCCTGGATTCATCAAAGTGGAAGAGAAGTTGTGGATGGATCCACTCAGTTTAATGGAGGAGAAGAAGACTGTGATTACTATGGATTCAGATTTGAATCCTCACGCCTTTCAGTACGTTCTCCAGTTCTGGTACACCGGTCGTGTTCCAGTTTCCTGTGACTGTCTCTCGGAGTTACGCCGGACAGCTGAAATCCTTATGCTACCTAATCTCATTCTGATGGTCTCAAATCTACAGACAGGGGAGTCCTACCTTAATACTCCACTGGAGAACAACTTCTTCACCTCCAGAAACAATAAGCTTGAATCTATAGGATTAGAGTCTGGAAAACTGACTGGTAGATTAAAAAAAATCTAATTGACAGTAAATTTAAACAGAGAGCTTTTGTTTTCTTTTGATATTTTTCATTTATTTTTTTTTTAATCAAATTTTGAAATTAGTTAGCAAGCTGGTTGAAAAATTTGAAATTTGTGTATTTTTAGAAAATCAGAAATTATCATGATGGTCATGTGAGGCAAAATGAAATACACTATTATGTCTTTATTGACAGACATTGAATTCCAGCTAGAGGACGGAGTTGTTGCCCTTCACAAACCAATCTTAATGGCTCGTTTCATTAACAATGATTTCATAAACAATGATGATGTTTGCCATGTATATAGTACCAACTTTTTTTTTCATATCAGATGTGCAGATTTACATACATACACATGTACTTGTCTTAATTTCATAACTGAATATTTTGTACAAATTGCAGAACTTTAAATGATATATACAGTACAATGTATAAAAGAATTGATATTTTATGTATATTTCATCTTTTGCTCACCTGAAACAAAAGTTTAAGTCAAAATTTGTCCGTTCTCTGTCATTGGGATGTTATTGTCGTAATCGTTTTCACTGAATTTGATGTCATGACCTTTTTACAATTTCACCTTCTCTAGAACCTCCTAATAAAATTCAACCAAATTTGGCACAGATTTTTCTATTGTATGTACACAGTAAAGGGGAATGTGTTACTAATTTTAATATTTCAAAATGGCTTAAGTGAGCACATTATCATTGTTGGTGGTTTTGTTGTCATTAACTTTTTACAATATCATTTTCTACTGAACAATAAAAATTTGGAGGGGTCAGTTAAAAATCTTTTCAAAAACCACTGAACTAGAAAAGATGAAAATTATGTGAAATTTCCTACAAGTAATCAAAGTGTTTTAAAAACAGTATACTGTAGAAGTACGTTTTTCTGCATGGTATTAATTTACGCTATGTACATTTTTACAGTCAATTTTCCTCGGAAATTTGTCCAAGTGTTCTTAATATAAATGTAAGGCATAAAGTACTGGCCTATTTGAATTGTCTGAGGGATTATTTTCAAGTGAGTTTAACATGTGGATTAAACAGAAATTGATTTACCAAAGTTGTATTGGAAAAAATCTTGAGCTGTAAATTGCACATTTTTTGCATACAGTATATTAAAACCATAAAAGCCACTATAAGTGATGAAAGAGTAACTTTGGAAACAGGAAAAAATCTCTAAAAATTCAAAATTGAAATAAAAATTACTTTTGCCAACCCCCAACCAATCCTGAACCATTTTTTTCTAAATAAGACCTAATAACAAATGTACAAATTAAGCCACAAATAAAGGATCTATGTTTTTTTTAATTACATTTTATTCAAATTTACTAAATGCAAACTGTTTATAGATTCCTTTTCCTGGAATGGACCTGCAGACCTTTAATGTCCTGAAGACATACCTGTACCTGGGACAGTTACCCTCGCTGGATGGGGCGGACATTATAGGTCTGATAGAGGCAGCTGATAGGCTGTGTCTTAAACACATGATTAAAGTCCTGGAGCACGAGATCGTCAATGAGCTTCTGCAGGCGGAAGCCAACGGTGAAAAGATCATAGAGGAGACTCTGAAGCTTATAGAACCAGCACAGGTACTTATATAAAGGATGAAAAGATTATAGAGGAAACTCTGAAGCTGATAGAACCAGCGCAGGTACTTATCTAAAGGTATCTAAAATCAGCATAGATAATGGTCAAAACAATCCCAAACCAGCACAGGTACTTATCTAAAGGGTGAAAAGATTATAGAGGAGACACTGAAGCTGATAGAACCAGCACAGGTACTTATATAAAGGGTTCAAAATCAGCATAGATAATGGTCAAAACAATCCCAAACCAGGACAGGTACTTATCAAAAGGGTTCAAAATTAGGATAGATATTGATCTTACAATTCCACACAAGCAAAGGTTTTATCTAAGGCAAAAAATATAGCAGTTTATAATATTTTCTTGGGCATTACAGCATTAGGTCAAATACGGCCACATTGGTAATTTTACTGACATTGATAAGGGAAATTACTCAATATTTTTCTATTTTTCCAAATTAAAAAAAAAAGAAGAGGTATTTCCTTTCATACATGATAAACAGGCAATCACATCTCAAGCCTTTCTGACCATCTGGAACACTTATAAATTACTTTCTAGGATCTTCCAAGGAAAGCAAGTGGTTGGTTGACACTCTAATTATTCATAACAACCTGTAGAATCGCTCTGATACAACAAACGTTTCAATAAGTCTATAGCTGACAAACATTTGAATTTTTACCAAATGAATTTTATTTGAAGTTTTAATGGACAGATGTTATTCAAACAACTTATTTTACTCTGCTAATAATATTTACATGTACAGATTTTCATTTTCCTGCTGTTTATATTTGAATACAGTCACTGATTCACTTCCTCTTTGACCTAGCCAGAGGTTATTACTGTCATCCAGACATAGACCCAAGGGCTCAAGAATACCATCTTCCTTGGACAGGAGGAAACGCAAGAAAACTCCATCTGGGTTCAGCATGTGAATCCTGTATTGGCACTGGTTATCACAAACAAGGATATTTCCTACATTGTCAGTACAGATCCCATGGGGGAAAAACTGGTTCTTCTTGGATCCTCTGTAGGTGAATTTGTGTTGGCCCTCCCTGTTGACCCCAATCACAGAAAATTTTTCAAAGTCAGAGGTGCAGATATCTCCAGTAGGACCTTCTGTTATGTAGTGGGGGTAGCAAAAGAGGTTTTCTCCAGTTTTTTGATTTTGCTTAATCTGAGCAAGTTCTCTGCCAGTGCTGTCGAAGCGAACGATTTTAGCTTCCTGTTTGGTGTACATCCCGATTAAAATGTCTTCATTGATCCAAGAGGAGTGGATACTGATGGAAGCCCAGTTTTGAGGGGTGGCAAAAAGGCTCTCTACTTTCTTTTCTTGAGGGAGAAATCTGTTAACCCTTTTCATTCCTTTGTCAATATAGAGTAGATTGTTGTTAATTGTGGCACAGTGGTAGCCATCCCCTTTACTCTTAAGTGACAGTTCATCTAAAGTCTTTCCATGAATATTCAATAAAATCATATGGCTTGACCGATCACTCACCCATGCACGGCCATCTTTCATGCAGCTGATGTGTCGGCCATATTGAATTCCTGGAGGTGTCATGCCCATCACTTTTCCCAAAGAAAATGTCATATTGTTGTATAGGTTCTCTAAATTTGTGACTGGAGTCACTGGCACTTCAGTAGCATCAGGAGAATCAATGATCTCTCCAAAAAGTTTGGCAATCTTGTCTTCTGTAACAGACTTCTTGTGGTATTCAGGAAATACAATTTTCTTGGGGTGGGGGATGTCCTCCTCCTTCACAGTCAACTTAGGACGTGTCATCATCATCTGGGTAGGGGTGCTGGTCTCCAGCTTATGTTCCAAATCATCCAGCATTTCTGTCAGGGATGTTAGTTGGTCACTGATCACTCTTTCCTCTAGCAGAAGTTTCTGCAGCAATGAAATTTCCATCCTTTCCAACATTGACAAATTCTTCTTCAACACTGCATCAACCATATCTTTGATTTCTTGAGCCTTTTCTTTGATGCCAATGCGGATGTTGGCCATAACTTGCTTACATTTGGTAATGTTTTCCAGAACCTCATTGTGCTGATCTTTACACTTTGGTACAAGTTTATTCTTCAGGGTTGCGATATGGGACACTATTGTTTCTCTTTTTAGATTATACATTTTGTCCTTTTCAACAAATACATGACCTACATGCTTTTCTGTGATGCATTTAGTACACACGGGAAGTTCACAGTCTTTACAACACATATCAAATTTGTTGGAGGGGTGCTCAATACATGTGTCATCTTTGCTAGATGTGTTCCACTCAGATAATGGACAGACTTGGTGGTTCTTTGTTGATTTGGATTTGATGTGTTGTTTCTGACATTTATTACACAATTTGTCCTCACAAGTCTCACACACGAAGTCAGCTGACTTTTTACATTTGAAACATTTGGCATGGTTTGTTTTTGGACTGGTGGCCATTGAATTCTCTGTTTGCTAAAACAACAAAAAACATAGAAGTTGCATTCAGTTCTATTGAATTCGTTCTAATGAATAAAAATAGCTGAGAGGAAGGAATTGAAAATTTAAAAAATGTAGGGAAAAAGTTGTAGGTATATTACCTATGTTAAACTATAGTATGGCATGCTCACAAATATGTTATAATTTGATCTTTTATAATAATAAAAAAAATTAAGATAAATGATTTTAAATATACCTGTGTCTCCATATGTCTTTCTCTGTTAAATGACTCACAAATTTGCTCTCTGGAACTTTGATAAAATGTTTTCCTGAAAATAAAGTCTAACTTCCTGGATTTGATTGTAAGCTTTTATGATAGGAAATGATATACTTATTAGTAATCATATTGGTAAATCTATTTGTAGACTAAATTAAGAGGATGTAAATTTATCTGTATCACCTACATACATGTACATGTACTACACATTTTAATATGAAATCTAAAATGTAATACTATGATTTAATTTTTTTTATCCATATTTAGTATTCACTGCAAATAAGTATGATACATTTAATCATGATTGGAATTTGTCATTCAATTGATAAGTTTATCAAACTGTTAAGTACATGTATACTCCATTGCTTATTAATAAAATGATTTGATGTGTCACGTTTTTTCTGAATGAAGTAATTTTCCTAAGACATCTGCTAAAGTATATTTTCCTTTGTATTTCACTATTAGCTCGAGCTATTCATGCAAGAATCTATTCTATATATACATGATATAGTTTGCTTCATCCAGTTTTAAATTCTTTAATTTAAAGTACAAGTGAATTCATATAATTAGATGAATAAAACTTATAAGTACTTTGAAGTGTATGTCAAATGAAAAAAATCACTTTGATAAATATCATTTTAATTGTTTTTCATTTTCTACTTATAGTTGAGTATCCACTCAAAGCATGTAACCATTGAAAAATAAAAAAAGAAATTCCCACCACTGTCTTACTAAGCTAAATGCATGTGGCAGGTTTTAGAACTGTTTTTGATATGCATGTACTTGACTGTAGGGCATATATTTTGCAGAACATTAGGGTGTCCCCGTGTTGCAGTTGAAAAATGTTTCTAATAGTACAACTTCCTTTCAAAAAACTTACATGAACGATGTCTCAATACATAGTAATTATGGGTTATAAAAAGAGTCAATATAATTTTATGGAGACATCATTTGATGAGGATGTTCTAAACAGGTGTTTGAAAAGCAACTATTGACATGCATAGAAAAAATTATAAACAAGTATCATATTGAAATATTCAATTAATTAAAATTTTTAATTTCAGTATAAAAAAATGTGAAATTATATTTAAATATTTACAACATTACTCAAAATAATGTTGAAACTGCTGCCAATCTTTTACAGTTCCACAATGCTTCAGAGCTTGCCCAGTGGTGCCTTGACTATGTGTGTGGAAATTATAACGTGGTACATAGAAAGTACTTCAGCCTTCTGTACAAGCTACAGCCAGAAAACCAGAGATACATCGCCCTCAATAAATGGCCACCAGACTGGTCTGTACAGGAACTTCAGCATTTAGTCGTAGTTTTGTCCATAGGCAGTAGTATTTTGTAGAACTAAGACTGTATTAATTTTACATGGAAGAAGCTATTTTATATTCAGTAAGTGTAAAACATGGTTTTAGAAATTATATTTATGTAAACTTTTTTCAATATGAAAACAAAGATCCAGAAAAATATATAAATGTGAAAATTAACTTCCTTCATGTATTTGATTTTAAGAATCTGAAGCAGGTGAATGTTATATTTTTTAACAAAGTTTAACACAAGTGCTTGGCACTGATAAAGCATGACACAAAGAGTACATTTAATTGAAGAGTACTTACTGTTCATTAACAGTTAATTGATTTTTAATGAGGATGTAACATGAGATGACTTTCAAAGAACTATATGCGGTATATTGCATATATTTGCCCCCACAAAAGTCAAATTTTGAAAACTTCCTGAAATGTGCTGAATTCAATAAATTATATGAGAAATATAAATTAGCAGAAAATATTATAGTGTCAAAGCAGTGTATTCACAATTTTTGTTTTTATGACGTTACAAACTAGTCCGATTTTATATAATTTTTCAGAAAGAGGACAAAATGGACAAAATTTCAACAATTTTAGCTTTAGAATTTATAGAGCGCAAGTTTGTTCAGGAACAATTTTGATATATTTCAGTGCTTTTGTCATTCTACACATTATATCAAAATATTGATCCTGAACACACATGCGCTCGGTGACTTTTACTCAAAATATCGATTAAATATGTACATTTTTCTGTAAAATTTATAAAAAACTGAAATTTACGTCATGTTTGTGACGTCATTACGTATATACATATGGCGTCATTACTTATGAAAATATTCAGTGCTTTGAAGTCAGCATATGCTCCCCTGTTTAAGAACTGAATTAAATATGCCTCCATCAAAGTTTGATTTGGGGGGCAAATATTGGTTATTACCGAATAAAGTTCTTTATCACATTCATGTACTTCTAGTATTTTTTCAATTTAATCATGCTTACTTGCAAACTTTTATGCATTAAATTTTATAAAATCATCGAAACAGAATTTTTTTGTCAAATTAATATATTTTGATTTTAATTGCAGGTACACCCAGGAAATGGAGCACTACACCATGGCCGTACGAGACATAACCCCCAAACACATGATTCAGCAGAAACACCAGTTCTCGCGCTGGCAGCGCTGCAAGTCAAGCTGTCTATGCTTCGGTCGTAGAAGCAGAATGGTGAACCTTGAAACCGATGACGACGACGACTGACTGCTCAGCACAAAGGTCAAAGGTGTCCAGCACCGGTGCAGAACTAGTCAATGGACAGTGGTACACCGTTACTTTTTATAGTCATGCAATATTAGCAGTATTCTGATAATGTTTTCAGTTTATTCTCTGCTTGTTGTTGCTGGGTAATATATATGCTGGCACATTGCTTCTGAATTTGAAAATAATGCTCTCTGTTCAGCTGATGTTATTGCTTCTATATAATGTATGAATTAACATGTATGTGTACACATCTATGCTGTATATGTGCATATTTTTACACATTGTTAATTACTTGAATAAGTAAAAGGCACATTACATGTGGGTTTTTTTTTCTATGATACCAGAATCATGTAGTTTTAAAAGTTAATATAACATATGAAGGAATTGAAAAAAAAAGGTGGGGGATATTTTCGCAAAATTTTTCTAATGGTGTAATTAGAACAATTTCATGTGTATATAGAGGACATGATAAGTTATTGTATGATGCAGAGTGAATAGATACAGTCATAGCAGATTGTAAATTAAAATCTGACCAGTAATATTGATGTCAGATATATGCAGATAGGTGTATTTTCATTCAGTTAGATTATCAAAAAATGGTAAGTTTTTTTTTTTATTGTATCTCAGTATTATTTTATTAGATTTAAACATATGCTGAAGAAAAATGATTACGGTTTTTATTTAAACATCTTCCCTTTTTATTGGTATTGAACAAATACATTTACAAGCCTGTGATAAGTTAAGCTTTCTGGAGTAATTGAAATAATTTTTTATTGTTAATTAATATTACTGATATTTATAATACAAGTTTTAAATGTGCATTTCACCACCTGTTTAAAAAATGCAATTGTAAAGCTTACAGATTGATTGGAAGGAAATTATAGCATTGATGACTGCAACATATGGCAATTATAATATCTCTGAAGCAGTATTTCTTTCCAGTCCACTAAATGACTGAAATTTTCGTTTCAAAATTAGATGCTCACAATTTGGCATGCTCAACCTCTAAATCTTTAAGTGTTTACAGCAGTTTATAGACACCATGAACATCATCTCCATGAAGAAAATAAATATGTTTGGTTGTAATTTTTAGCTTATAGTCAGAGACCATAAACATTTTTCAAAATGCTACTCCTCCTACAGTTTTGATTTCAATGAAACACAAGTAGACTACACTAATATACATAATTCTGTATATCGGTTTTTGATTTAGATAAACAGTGTTGCTGGGTTACTAAAAATAGAAATTTCTGTGAAATTCTTTCAAAATGCTACTTCTCCTACAGGTTTGGTTTGATTTCAATATAACTTGGCACACAAGTAGACTACATTAAGTTACATAATTCTGTGCATCGGTTTTGGATTTCGATAAACAGTGTTGCCATGGTTACTAAAAATAGAAATTTCTGTGAAATTCTTTCAAAATGCTACTCCTCCTACAAAATTTCAATAAAACTTGGCACACAAGAGGCTATACTAAGGTACATAATTCTGTGCATCGGTTTTTTGATTTCGATGAACGATGTTGCTATGGTTACTAAAAATAGAAATTTCTGTTAAATTCTTTCAAAATGCTACTCCTCCTACAGTTTTTGTCTGATTTCAGTATAACTTGGCACACAAGTAGGCTATACTAAGATACATTATTCTGTGCATTGGTTTTTTTTTTTGATAAGCGGAAAGGACCATTTTTCTATTAATTGCTATTTTAAAGTTTCAAGTCCCAGCTGCTACTTTTCTCTTCCTTTGTTTTATGTATAAACCAGTAGAGCTACAGTCTCGACAGAGACTTCTGGTTCAGAATGAAATGCTCACACTGTTGTACAGAAATTACATGTTAAGATCACAAAAGGCCACCAGATTGGTTTGTGTAAGATAATGAACAATTACGAGGCATTTCCTAGGATATTCTGTGATATGAAAGTAACTTTGCAATATTAGAGTGATTTCACTCCCTTGGTTGACATATTGTGATATATTCTTTTGGACAGTTGAATCATTTTGTTTGTACAGTTTAGATTGGACAAATATGTCTAGTAGTTCTCTCTCACTTGTTCACGCTTGCCAAAATTACTTTGAAAAGATTTTGAAATGCATACCTATGAACATAACTGTAAATAGCTTAGAGATAAAAATCATACATTATCTGGATATGTTCTTTGATACATGTATACTCATAGCTATGTACCATATACTTTCTGCACTGAAGAAAAGTTTTGAAATTCATGTTGTAAACTTAAAGTTGTTTAACTGTTACAAAAGGATGGTTCTTTGTTGGCACTTATATTCAACTTTAATACCTACACTTAATTAACATTACTCTCCTATGTTAAATCAAAATTAAAAATGTGTACAGTTGTTATTGAAGAGTCTTCCAGGCAAACAGTAGTAGTGCTAACAACATTCATTCTTGTATAAAGTGCTTCTAGATTTTAAAAAAAGATTGCGCTTTCCTGCAACCACAAACTTTTTGTTAGTGCATGCTCTTTTCTTATACATTATTTTTTTTTTACTATCCAATAGTGCTGATTTTTGAAAACATTTCAATGATTTATGTACATTGAAAGTACAATGAAAAAGTAGCTTAAGATTTAAGCACATTTATTTATACATATTACTTCAATAGATGTTTCTTCCCTTGTTACTTTTAGTCACAAAATAGTGCAAAGTACAATAGTGCATCCACCTGGAAATCTCTATAATAAATTTATTATGCCCCCCTTCGAAGAAGGGAGGGCATATTGCTTTGCCTGTCTGTCGGTCGGTCTGTCTGTCCATTTAGTTTCCATTCATTTTCTTCACAACCGTTGCACATTCTGAAATGAAATTTGGTATACAGGTTTATCAGGGGAATATCTAGGTCAAGTTCTGTTTTGGGTTTGATCGCACCATTTTTGACAGAGTTATGTCCCTTGGACTTAGAAAAATTCCACTTATTTGCAGTTTCCGTTCATTTTCTTTGCAGAGGTTGCACATATTGAAATGAAATTTAGCATACAGATTTTTTCAGCTGAATATCTAGGTCAAGTTTTGTTTTGGGTATGATCGCACCCTTTTTGTCAGAGTTATGCCCCTTGGACTTAGAAAAATTCCACTTATTTGCAGTTTCCGTTCATTTTCTTTGCAGGGGTTGCACATATTGAAATGAAATTTAGTATACAGATTTTTCAGCTGAATATCTACGTCAAGTTTTGTTTTGGATACGATCGCACCCTTTTTGTCAGAGTTATGCCCCTTGGACTTAGAAAAATTCCACTTATTTGCAGTTTCCGTTCATTTTCTTTGCAGAGGTTGCACATATTGAAATGAAATTTAGTATACAGATTTTTCAGCTGAATATCTAGGTTAAATTTTGTTTTGGGTAGGATTGCACCATTTTAGACAGAGTTATGCCCTTTTGGACTTGGAAAAAATCCAGTTTGGGAGGAGGGGGGCATAAGTGTTTGACAAACATCTCTTGTTTAATTTAGTGTTCTGTATAGTGCTTGTTTGTTCTTTTATTTATCTCAAACTGTGCATGGATTTCAATATTCGTAAAACCCATGTCCACTTTCTGCCTGCATATCCTGCAAATTCACCTTTCAGTCTGCCTTATACTTAAATAATTTTACTTTAATCCTGTCGTATATTTTATATTTTTTTTATGTCAACTTTCTTTGTGAATTTTCTAAAGTTTAAAGCTCAGTTTAGTAAGCACAAAATATGATGATTTTGCTCTTGTTTACTTTTTTTTTTTTTTTTTTTTGTAGTTTAAAAACTAACAATTATATCTTCTGTGTATTTGTATTTATTTGGGTAGAGGATGTAGAACTGATGACCTATCAGCTGAAATCAATGTTTATAGTCCTTATTATATGCCTTGTATTCTTAGTTACATTGTGATATATATAATTGTGTACTTTGTTGATCTTGAAATATTAGGGTATGCCTTCTTGTACTTTTTAGTTTTGTTGGTATATTTTCTTGATTTTGTATTTATTTTATGTTTATTATTTAGCCTTGTTGATTATTATTGTAGTGTTGTCTTGGGGTAAAGCAAACTCAATGTCAGCTCTCTCTAACGATAAAGTTTAGTTAACTTTTATTTTTCCAAAAACCAAAAAATGTCCCTATGCTTGCCGGGATGTTGTCTGGAAGAAAAACAAATATAAGATTTTTAAATGATGTCTTTGATAGGAGAATTTTTTTCCATAATTATATAGAATCTGAGTAAAAGATAATATATCTTCGTAAACGGGTGCCTCACCATGATTCAAACCTTATTAGTAGTCATGTCTGCCTTGTATTTATAACATATTTCCACAACACTTGGTACTCTATGAAGCTTATTTAAATAAGTCATCATTAGGTTTTTTTAAAATGTAACAGACATATATTTGTTGAAGCATTAAAATAGTCACATCGTTGTTATTATCTAATATTTAGATTTTTCAGATTTTAAACATTTAATTCATAAATTGCTATAAATTAGAGTTTTATATTAAACAGATATATTATAAAATTATTCAACATGAAGTTTTTGTGTTAAAAAATGGCTCTTTCAATAAACAATGTGTTTCAACATTTTGATGTAAATTAATCATTATTAGATATTGAAAATCCTTAAAGGGGATTTTTTTATTTAACCTTCATCATTCAGAAGTTATTTTAACTATCAGTAAAGAGTCAATTCGTTAAGTTTTTCTCATGGAACTTGTAGGATTGAAGCTGTATGAGACCTTATGCGCTAGTATATTTAAAAGTTGCTAAATCACTCTTACAACTCTTTGAATATAAAAGTTTTTATTTATTTCTACCCACTGTGCTTAATTTTGAGCACTCTTAACCGTTAAAGTTCGAGTTCAGTATTTGAAGATTGAATGTTCATTTCTTAAGTTTTATTTTCACTGAAGAATATATAAGTAGGATTATTAATTATAAATGATAATGTCAAATTTGAATTGAGGAAATCAAAATAGAAGATGAGATTATTTCATAGACATTGACATCATTTATTTAAAAATTATTTTGCTAAAAGATGAAGGTAGATTTTTTTGAGTTTGTGTTTGATTCAGTTTTTACTTCAAAATTATTTTTCTGAAATAACAATTTGTCATTGCATATTCATATATGTGTCATATTAATTTCCAAACATTACCTATGAAAATTTTCATGTTCCCTAAGTTTGTTTCAAATTTCAAAGATTGATTTTTTTTGTTTTTTTTTTTTTGGTAGAGACAATATGTACACAGAAACATATAGCATTTGTTTTTATAAAAGGTCAGTATTGATATAAGATTTATCGGATCATGTGATTCAGAAAGGGTATGGAATGAATGGATTCATTTGGCTGTGATGGTACAAGTAACAAACACATAACTGTGTTATAATATATTTACAGCTTATAGTACATATATTGTATTATTAAAATATTACAGAAAAAATGTTTTTCATTTTTCTTTAATTGCATGCACAGAACTTTCCATTGTGTCACATAGGAAAAAAGACTGGTCTTAATATTTGACAATCATGAAGATGAATGTAGATATTGACTTTAATATAGCTATTAATGATATTGTCAATTGCATAGTTCGGGTTAATATAAGATGTAGAATATGAAGATAACAAACAGTAATCAAGCTCACAAGTTCACTGAAACTGGGAGCAGAGAAAACACGGACCACTTAAATCGCGTATTATGTGCTACGAAGAAGGAATCGCAACCTGGCAACCAGTCACACCCTTGTGCTCCTTTTCACAAATGTGTAAATGGAAAATCCTTAGGTTTAGTGTGAGAAAATAATGAATTACATAATTTGTAAGAAAAACATAAGTGACCTTTCAATAGATTGTATTTGTTTACAAGGTCATTTCAACCATGGAATTTGCGAAAGGTTGACTTTAAATAGGACCCGAATGTCTTAGTATCATCAACTTCTTTGTGAATAGCTTGCTTTGTTTTAGAATTTGTACGTAGAACATAACGTGTTTAAGTATTGGATAAACTGAGAGACATAAATTTTGTATGCGGATGATAATGGTATATTGCTACTTAAATGAGGAAAGTTGATGATTTAAAAGTTATAGTCATCGTGTTTGTCATAAACTGTAGCTGTCAGTTTGCCATCAATGTCTTTTCTTGTAAAATATGCAAGTTGAAAAAAGTGTTGTCTTGTTTCAAATTAATTGATATTTTGGAACAACATTGGCAAAACAATAAATATTTTTACTAACTGATATACAGGTGATATTTTTACGAATATCGAATTACAGCAAGAGGCCTTTATACAGAATTTTTAAAAACGAAATCTGCTTCATAAGAATACAAAAAACTCTGCTAGTACCCATCGTTTGTTATCGTCGTCGTTAACTTTTCACATTGTCATAAGAAATTTACTTAAAAGAAAACTTTAAGTCAGGGCCAATTTCAAGTGAAACTTGGCAGAAAATTCTTAGGTAAAGGGGATTCAAATTTGTTCAAATGAAGGTCCACACCCATATTAAAGGGGAGATAATTCAGAAATAGTGAACATTTGGTGGTATGTTTTAAAAATCTTCTCAAGAACCACTGTGCCTGGAAAGATGAAACTTATAGGGAAGCATCCTCAGGTAATGTAGATTCAAATTTGTTCAAATCTTGACCCCTGGGGGTTTGGGCGGGGCCACAATGGACAATCAAAGTTTTACATAGAAATATATAGGAAAATTCTTTAAATATCTTCCTTTCAAGAACCGCTGTGCCAGGAAAGATGAAACTTATAGGGAAGCATCCTCAGGTAGTGTAGATTCAGATTTGTTCAAATCATGACCCCCGGGGGTAGGGTGGGGCCACAATGGCCGATTAAAGTATTACATGGAAATAAATAGGACAATTCTTTAAAAATCTTCTTCTCAAGAATAGCAAAGGCATGAATGATCATGCTTATATGGAAGCATCCTCAGGTAGTGTAGATTCAGCTTTGTTCAAATCATGACCCCTGGGGGTAGGGCGGGGCAAAAATGGCCAATCAAGTTTTTACATAGAAATATAAAGGGAAATTCTTTAAAAATCTTCCTCTCAAGAATAGCAAAGGCATGCATGATCATATTTTTATGGAAGCATCCTCAGGTAGTGGAAATTTAATTTTGTTCAAATCATGACCCCTGGGTTTAGGGCGGGGCTTTAACTTGGAATCCAAGTTTTACATAGAAACATGTAGAAAAAATCTTAAAAATCTTCTTTTCAGTGATTAGTCCTATTCACATGGAAGCATTGTCAGGTAGTGTAGATTTAATTTTGTTCAAGTCATGACCCCTGGGGGTAGGGCGGGGCCACAATGTAAGTTCAAATGTAAAGGGCAATAAAGCCACAGGTAGTCAAAGAAATATGCAAGCATCCTTAGTTAGTGTAGATTCAAGTTTGTTCATATCATACCCTCTCCCTTTTAAGGATTGGTTTGGACCACTATTAGGTTTAAACTTTTCAATAATAAACTGATTTCTGCTTTTTTCCTAGCCACATTGCTCAGGTGAGCGATGTGGCCCATGGGCCTCTTGTTGCTAACTGATATATAGTTGATATATTTACGAATGTCGAATTACAGCAAGAGGCTTTTATACAGAATTTTTAAAAACAAAATCTGCTTCATAAGAATACAAAAAACTCTGCTAGTACCCATGGGAATTTCCTCAGTTTATTAGGCATCTTCATATTTTCGAAACAAGAAAAGAAGTCATAAGAAATTTACAATAAAAGAAAACTTTAAGTCAGGGGATATCAGGTAATGATAGTGACTTCAGAAAATGTCAAAGAATATCATGGAGTAGATAGTGGCAACAGGGGCAAGGTCAGGGGACTTCAGGGACAGTGATAGCATGGGCAAAGTCAGGGGGCCTGAGGGAGAAGATAGTGGTAACAAGGGCAAAGTCAGGGGACGTCAGGGAGTAGACAGTGATAGCAGGGACAAAGTCAGGGGACGTCTGGGAGTAGACAGTGATAGCAGGGGCAAAGTCAGGGATCGTCAGGGAGTAGACAGTGGTAACAAGGGCAAAATCAGGGGACGTCAGGGAGTAGACAGTGATAGCAGGGACAAAGTCAGGGGATGCCAAGCAAGGAGTAGACAGTGAAAGCAGGGGCAAGGTCAGGGGACGTCAGGGAGTAGACAGTGATAGCATGGGCAAAGTCAGGGGACGTCAGGGAATAGAAGGTGGTAACATGGGCAAAGTCAGGGGACGTCAGGGAGTAGACAGTGATAGCAGGGGCAAAGTCAGGGGACGTCAGGGAATAGAAGGTGGTAACATGGGCAAAGTCAGGGGACGTCAGGGAGTAGACAGTGATAGCAGGGGCAAAGTTAGGGGACGTCAGGGAATAGAAGGTGGTAACATGGGCAAGGTCAGGGGACGTCAGGGAGTAGAGAGTGATAGTAGGGGCAAAGTCAGGAGACGTCAGGGAGTAGAAGGTGGTAACAAGGGCAAGGTCAGGGGACGTCAGGGAGTAGAGAGTGATAGCAGGGGCAAAGTCAGGGGGCCTGAGGGAGAAGATAATGGTAACAAGGGCAAAGTCAGGGGACGTCAGTAACGGAAAAAAAAGGTGGTCACAAGGGCAAAAATGTCAGGTCGACGTTTATGGCAAATATTAGAGAGTGGGAGTAGAAATGAGTGATAGCAATTTTTGCAAAGTCATGGGGCCTGATATGAAGATAGTGGTAACAAGGGCAAAGTCAGGGGACGTCAGGGAGTAGAAGGTGGTAACAAGGGCAAGGTCAGGGAGTAGAGAGTGATAACAGGGGCAAAGTCAGGGAAAAATAAAATTTTAACAAGGGCAAGGTCAGGGGTCATTTTTAAAACAAAACAGGGAGTAGAGAGTGATAGCAGGGGCAAAGTCAGGGGACGTCAGGGAGAAGATAGTGGTAACAAGGGCAAAGTCAGGGGACATCAAGGTCAAAAGGTCAAGATGTTTGGTATCCGAAAAAAAGTCCTTTTCAAAAGGAATATACATACTGTAAACCAACTTTTATTCGCATGCGAGAAGATCGCGAGAGCCTCGTCATCACGAATATTTCTCGCCGCGGTTCTTAAAGCCAATGTGTCTATTAACAACAGAACCTAAATAGGCTTGATCGCGAAAATTAATCGTCGCAAACTAGTATACCCCCGATAAATCGCGAAATAAAGTCGTCGCGAGTAAAAGTTGGTTTACAGTCATGGTCAAGGTTTAATTTTTTAAACGTGGTTCAAACTCTAAGGTCAATAAATCAAAAATATTTATACCCATGTCTACGCTTCCGTATATGTCACATGTGTAACAATGTTTCAATTTGTGAAGTATGAAAGTCATGACAACAACTACTCAAAATACGGCCATGGTTGAAGTTTGGTACTTTATTTCTCAAAAGTGGGTCAAACTCTAAGGAAAATTTATTTGCACCCTGTCATGTCATGCACAAGGAATGCACATGTGAAATGTAAAAGTCATAGCTCCACCAAATCAAAAGTTATGGGCAAGGTTTAAGTTTTTGTGGACAAACAGACAGCTAGACAGACGGATGGACATGGCAAAAAGTATATACCTCCTAATTTTCGATTACGGGGGCATAAAAAGTGCTAGATAAATAAATTGTAAAAACTCTTTTATATCTATAATGCTGATCCATTGTTTTTGTTTGATACGCTCGGTAAACCAAAATGATGATTGCTAAACGCATAACCTGAACCTTACTTGAACCTATCTAGAATTCATGTAAAGGGGGAAAATATTGATGTTAATTAATTCATGCCAACAAGTAGAACGACAATAAGGCAGACATAGGTGGTCCAAACAGTTTTTACTCTTCATTCATGTATTTTTAAGCCGTGTAACCCTTGTTCATCCACTAATCCTTTAACTATAATGGCCACATAAGAGTAAAAGTAAACCTGATACGGGTAAAAGCAGGTCAAGAGGAGGAATTCGGTGTACATAATTCTAGACTGTACCTGGAACCTATCAGGTGTACTTTTAATTGATATTTGGGGAGGTTCCCTGAATTTTATTAAAACCTGACGTCAAAATATTTCTAATTGATGTCAAATTTCAATGTTAAATCAGGTTTCTATTAAAAATTGATTACATGCCCAGTTCGTTATTCAAAAAACCATTTCCAAACTGACATCTTTTTATTCAATCTATTTACTTAAACTATTAAAGTATTTGCATGTACATGTTGGCTGGTATTTAATGTGTTTATAAAAGTTAAGAAGAATTCAAATTTATGTTGCGGGCTATTGATGATCTATTTTATTTGAATAACATACATGTATAGCAATAATTCAAACAGACAGCAACGCCCATATTACTCATCATGCATTCTCAAACAACTCTGAATGAGTGAATGCATACTCCAACGTGATAATCATTCTTCAGAATGTCTTCAAATCCAAGTTTTGTAAAGCATGCCTCGGGTGATTTTTTTAATACCTTTTTCATTTCCCCCTTTATCCCAAAACTATGGACAATTAATTTACAGAGTATCCTTACCTTGCAGACTCTTTCACCTTCTACAATTCTTTTCAAAAAAGTTTAATTGAATTACATTATATACTACACTGCGTACTAAAAGATTCGAAGTGAAGAAAACTGTCTAGAATATAATGTTTTATACTATATATTTAATCTTTTGAATAAGGTAGCAACTTAAATTGAACAATCATGCTGAAGAACAGTTATCATTTTCAATGCACCAGTCTCATTGAAAAATGTCAGTAATGCAGTTGTAACTATCAATTCGCATTTTTGGAACTGTCGGATTTTCTTTTTAAACTGTTCTTATGAACCACTTACATCTTCATATATAAGATTATGCAAAGTCGATGCAAAAATTTTTATAGAATGATCCTTTAAAATTTTTAAAATTTAATGCATTGGAAGTATTAGTATTTTATTTTAATAGATAGGCTGGAAGTATTCTTCAACAGCGGACACACATCGGATTAGCCTATAAACATATTTTAAAACCTAACTATGTTTTATTAAGATCGTCGCAAAGTGATAGCTATCGTTTCCGTCTTATGCTTGTCTAGTTAAATACTTTGATTCATATCACATTTTTTTTTTAGAATTGAGATTTAAATTTTATCAAATCGCATGTGGAGTGGGACAATGTTCTGTTTATCTAGAAATCTTCACTATGACGAAAGTATGGACATGAAAGACTCCTCAGGAACCGGATTAGAGGATCCTCTGAGAGTTTGTTATAATTAGCTGTTTAAAACGTTGACGCTGCGTGAACCCACTTGCTGAATTCAATACAAATGGTTACGATGGAGAACTTACAGGGAACGAACCAGTTTCGGAATAGACTATTAATGTGGTCCTAGCTAAAAATAAAGGTAAGGAAGATGAATACATGTAGATGAATATTTTAAGGCTTCAATTTATTATCCTGATCAATTTTGAAAAGATAACACTCTTCTCAGTCTTAATTTAGATATTTATTACGTACACTTTGTTTTTAAAGATTGTGCCACAAATCTACACAAATATTGAACTTATTGAAAAAAAGTGCTCTTTAGATTTTCCATGTTCTCTCAATATTTATATAAATGCTTTTCAGATTTAATGAATATTCATATTTCCTTCCAATTCCCGAAAATTACGCAATGTATGTTTTGTTAATCTCCTAGAGAGGAAAAGTATTGTTTCAACTATTTTAGTAGTCTAAGAATTTTTTTATCTGCACTTTTAAATTTAACTTTAATATTTTTCATGTTAAGGTAATAATTCCAAAAAAAGTGAAGGTAATAAATACTTATGTAGGCGGAATGAATTTATTCCTCACACTTTTCAGTGGCTTTCATGCAGTTATGATCATTTATAAAAAATTACCTACAGTATTAAAACACCTCTGATTACCTCATAGCTCATTCATGCGAAGTAGGAAGTGATTTTTCACACGAACATAAGTAACACCAGAAGCGTTCACTCTGGTTGACTTATTCCAAATACCTTATTTACATAAAACGCTAATATTACAATTTAGAAGCAAAAATAGAATTAAAACAGGAATATTGACCTTAGTAAGCAGATGGAATAAGCTGGGTGTCAAAACCTCTTTATAGGTAAATCATTTATTTTTCAGACTTCTTTAGATATTTATTTAAAGTCAAACAATGAGTTGAATATTGTATATTTATTTTCAACTATAGCTTTTCCATTTATACCACGGTTGATTAAGCGTCAAATGTTATTATATTTGTGTTCAATTTTAAAAAGGTGCGCTAAATCTCCAGAAATAAAATAAGTATATATTAGATCTGAGTACATTATCAGAATCTAGAATGAATCTTACTCAAAAGGTATGACAAAGTATGAAAATTCATTGGCCCCTTTTACCTAATTTCATGACATGCAACAAGCAACTTTACTTGTTTTACCGGTATCTATGGTCGGTGGGACTTTCTTTTGCCCCCTTTTGAATTTCACATAAGATTCTTCGCGATATTTAACCACAAAACTATGAGAATAATTTAAATGTCTATGATTTTGTAATAAACAGACTGTCAATTTACAAAATTATTGGAATACGACGTCTCTTTAAATCTTTCAAAATTAAATTCAATCATTTAGAAAAATAAGGAATTCAGAGCGATACATAATGCTACAGTACACTGACAATAAAAATAAACAAATCCTCTGTTCCCCTGTTCTCCTTTATACTAAATACCCATCTCCTGCCATTGTACCAAGTGTCAAATTAACACAGACCTTTTGTGTATTGAGCGATTTTCTGTGTCATGTATGTATTAACTATCGTATTTAGTCAGTACTTGTTTTCAATGCCTCCTTCCTATACAATACACAATAAGACTGGTCCTTTTACCACGCCTGGAGTAGGCACTAGAAGTTATTAAGGTGAACCTGTCATTCATTTGGTATTTAAAGTTACATAATAAAGAAATAATAGGAATTAGACACAACAGATCGTTGTCTTTTGAATGTCAAATCTGTTTATTAAATCACTAAAATCCGTTCAAAATCTTTTGCAGACAAACGGACTCTGTGTTTAGGGCGTTGTCCCTGCTTCGAATGGCATCGCCATGTTGCTGAGGAGGTGCAGAAGGAACACGTTTCGCTATTCCGTTCCAGTAGCCTTTTTGTTCCTCTTCGCATTCTTTCTGTTCAAAACCTCAGACACTGAGCTGAGACATTCAGTCCCCGAGTCATCTGTAAGGGATGGCAGACGTTTATTTGGTGATCTTCATACCGAGGCTGTCGTGGATGTTTGGAAACTTCCAGCAAAAGATGAACGTCTGGTCTCAAAGATCAAGCAACTAATAGAAAAACCAGAGAAGGGTGATTATAACCTTACGCACCCAGATGTAACTGATTTTTCCAGAGGACAGAGCATCCAGATAAATCAACTTCTAGATGGTAAGGTGAGTGATTCAGCTTCTAGCTAGGGAACTGCATCGGGTTTAGACAGCTAGAGGACATAACCTGTGAAAGATGAATCTTGAGATTAGTTTAGAGACGTGGCAAAGCTGTAGTGGTTCTCTACAAAATTTAAACTGTTTTTAGAAATGATTTATCATGCAAAATAGGTTTTCTGGAATATGAGCCATTTGTATAGAGACTGGCAAATAAATAAAGCATGTGTACAGAAAAAAATTACCTTGCAAAATATGTTTCCAAAAAGAGGAGCCACATTGAATCATATTATTCTACATGTATGTATTAAGTCTATTCACAGTCACTCAGTTTCATTTTTACAAGACAAAAACAAATCAGAAGTAAAAGTTTACCTCATAGAAGAGGTTTTTTTTTGTAATGATAAGTAAAAATTGTTTAATTATCAAAAAGTGTTGGTCTTGAATCATTTTTCATGCATATAAATGGAACTTTTCTGATAAAGACACACATTTCCAAGAAAATTACAGTTTTGCAAATTATTCAGACTGCTCTTCGTGTTTTTCTTTTGTAGAAGGGGGGATTTTACATTGAGATAGGCGCTTCTGATGGAGAGGATGGTTCTGTGTCCCTTTTCTTTGAGAGATCGAGGGATTGGGACGGTCTTCTCATCGAACCTCATCCAGGGCGTTACAGACAACTACGTCAGAAACACAGAAAAGCCTTAACATTAAGGACATGCGTCAGGGTTTGTAACAACACTTTATCTGTCATTATTTATAGTCAACGGATCTTTAAAAAAAATCAGAAAAAGAAGAAAATCTCTGAAAAAATATTCAGAGAAATCATTCTTTTTGGTTTGATTTTGAACTTGCCTATTATTGATTTCAGCCAACTATTACAACCAATACTGTTAATTGAATTACTAGTAGTATACATGTTTGTTTTATCCCCTTAATATTTACTATATAACATTTTAGAGTAATTCAAGTAAACCTGAAAAAGAATTCGAAGACGCAATTGAAGGACACATAAAGGTTCCATGTTTGTGGTTGGAATCCATACTGAATGCACTGGGTAAAAATACAGTTGATCTGCTCAGTGTAGATGCCAGAGACCAAGAAATGGAAATTCTTAAAGCTATACCTTTATCTAAATATTCCATTAATGTGATCACCGTGGAATTTGTAGAAGGATCAGGAAGTGACATGTCTGTGATGAAATATTTACTGGACCATGGTTACCATGCCAACCACCAATTTGTCAATCATCCCCTACACAGAAATGACATGGTATTTACCAGGAAAAAATCAAGCTAGAAAGACAGAATCACAGTATAGAAATCATTTAGATGAATGAACACTATCTGCAATTCTCTGAATAAAAGGAAAGTTTGAATGGATTGCACACATGAATGTCTCATATCAAGTTTGCTGCTTCATCTAGCTATGAGTTTTATCATAAGCTTAATTTTGTGTATGACCATTTTATCAATTTTAAACTGCGATAAAAATGTATGTTAACTAAATATATTTCACATCATTTAACTTTTGTCTATATTATGTGTGTAGAACATGCTTGTTGCTTATGAGCTTATGTTTGGCTATTTTAAATACATTTTCAATATGCATAGAGGTGACCAGTAGGTCGTGTGTTCGAATCATTACTGCGAATGACCCAAATCGATAAAAATTAGGTAGCAATTGTTCTTTCGTACAGGGTTCGGCTCTTTCAAGTTAAAGTTGCGGGTCTCTCGGATGAGACCTTAAAAACCTAGGCCCCGGTACGCACAGACACGATAAAGAATCTTACTGCTCAATTGAAAATTGAATCCATTCACTAGTATATTATATGATGATTCCCGAGTGAAAAAATCCCGAAAGGGACATAAAACAACAGTCGACCAATATTACCAGAAAAATCTATATAAAAAAAAAGAGAAAAACGTCTAAAAACAGAAATTCAGATTTCATTCATAAAATTAAGCACTCTTACTAAATAGAGGTTTTTTGCCAAATATCTTAAAGCAGAATTAGTTCCAAAAATTGCGATTAATTATGAAAAAATTATGATATAGAATATTCAAAGAAAAATTATAACCGTTTTACTCCTGAATAATATATTTCTGATTACTGCAATTCTTTAAAATTCTAATAAAATGGAATCTATGAATTCAAAATACTTCTGAAATATACGACCATGGAAGAAACGTAATATCGATTTAAGATCCGTTGTTAGTACGTAAATTAAAGCAAAGGGTTTTTCTCAAACAGAGTTCAATCTTTTTTTTCTCAGTCTGAATAGTATCTATGAAATAAAAAAAAAGTAAGAAGAAAAAGAAAGTTTAAGAAAAAAATGAATAAGACTCGTCTGATTATGACTGATAGTGAATCTCCTTATGAATATGTAAAGCGGCTGACGGATAAAATGAAAACTATCTTTCTGTGTTGAAAGTTTCAATAAATGGTCAAGATTAATCTTTGATTTTATCTTGGTCTTATTGTTAGTGTCAGATTGAGTATAATATGACTTAATGAATTACTAAAACAAATAGAAAAGACTCCTAAATCTTAAACAAAAATTTTAGCTAGATTATCAAGTAAAATCAATTCAAACATGACCCTATTTTAGGACATAACTCGATCAATCACGAACATGCCATTTACATGTTTCTAAATAAACATGATCAGAGAGAAATTTAATGTTGAACCAACAATGGTATTCTCTATAATATTTTATCAAGAAAACCCAGGATGATATACTTGTAATTTTGCACTGTGTAGAAAAATCTTCCACCCTTCTTGTTTTTCTGCATGTACAAGCCCGTTGAAACAGACAGACTTAATCATATTATTTTATAAAAAAATAAATCTCTCGAAGCATATTCATATAACAGATCACATTGAGAGAAAAACTAATGTTGTAATTAAAAAGGCTTTTAGTAATAATTTGCTGAACAAACATTTTCCATACGTGTAAGGTATTTATTCATTTGGTTCTGGTAATATATGAGTAAAAGAGGTTTTAATGGTATTAATGGAAATAACGAATAGAATCCAATCTCAAAAGTCCACTCAGCAATACAAGATTGGAGCAGAGCAAATAATGTGCACAATATTCTTTTTTAAGAATTGCAAACTAAACGATTGCTTCAGTATCGAGAGACTTTTTATAAATCTGCCAGTAAAGCTAATCCTTTAATTGTTCGCCCGTTTTTATTAACTTTGCCCAAAGCAAAAAGCTGTATAAAACCGATTTATGATAATATCCGGAAATGACTATGGAGGGTACTATAGGTAAACATCAATTTTTAGAAAGAATAAATATATATCCATTATCCTCCTCATTTTAATCAAAAAGCTAATGGGTTACAAACTTAAATAAAGGCAATGCGTTACACAAAATCTCCCTAAAACGGAAAACGGAAACTAAGTTAATATGAAATATTTTTTTTAAGTTGCGAAACCAGAAAAATCAGAACGAAACATGCGTTTATTAGGATGGCAACTTATCTTAAAATATTTTCTCATTTTTAGCCAAGTGTTGCTATCCAAAACTACCCAATCTACATATTTTTTGTACCGTGAAGATTTGAATGACGTCAAATTCAATCATGCACTTTTGTTTGAAACTTCTGTTCATGAAATATATCAATGTTCTTTACTTTGCTTAAGTTATCCGTCGTGTGCATCTTTTCAAATAAATGAAAAACAACATAGCTGCCATCTGTTCTGGACTCATTTTTTTCTTGATGCCATAGGAAATTTCTCGATTGGTTGGAAAACATATTCAGAAACAGGTAGGTTTTATGAATGAAAACCAGATTGACCAATATATAATAAATAGTGGCTGATTTCTATTTATAAAAAAGTATTTTTGTTATGAATTAACTTGCAACAGTCAATAGAAAAAGAACTTCTAAATTAAATGTTTTTACATATAGAATTTTTTAAAATTTACTCTTGTTTAACCTAATTTATGGTCATTCATTACTTTCTAACATGTACAATGCGATGTATGAAACATGAAAAATACATGATTTATCATGAATTTGTATACAAATTCCATATCATATCTGTTTTATGCCACCAATAACACAACAGGTCATTTGATCTTAAAATCAAATGTCGTTTAACATTTTTCTAACAGGTCCGTGTCGGAGTGGATATTTCTACACCAGACAATATCACTACTGTATCCGATATGCTGGATATTCTTTTACAAAGGAATCTTCCTTTAACGCTTGCTACAGCAGAAATGAAACGCTTATTAAAGTCAATTCAGGGGAAGAAAATTTGTTTGTGAGCAGTTTAATTTGTAAGTAAAAATCATTATGTTAAATGTTTTTCGTTATGATTTTAATTTGTATCAAGGAGGTTGAAACGAATAAGATTTAGTTCAGTTTCTGAATGAAGAGCACTGATTGGTCATTTCAATTTTTCGGTTTTTTTTTTTTCAGATTGAGATTCGTTTCTTTGTTAAGAGATGTGAATGTTTTCTGCCCCCATAGACTATTTAACCTGAAAATAAAATTTTTTAGGGTAAAGAGGTCGGAGTGTTCATTCCCATCTTAGATTCTCTGAACTTAACTTTATTTACTTAGTATATTTAACAAAAATATAATTCGATTCTCGGGTTGGGAGGATTGATTGCTTATTGCTACTTTACGCTATTTAACTTTAATATATACTTTTTCAAAAAAAATTATTTTTCTATAAAAATTACCATTTCAATTTTGATTTGGAGCTCTTTTCTATTTTGTTTCACTGTATATTAAAGTTTTGTAATTGAACAGTTGAATGGTTAACGTTCAAATCAGGTTAAACCAGAATTAAAATATGATTTCACTCTATGCATAATTATAAATGTTGACAGATTATTGTTTACAATATTGGAATTACAGTAATATAAAAAGGATTGCTAAAAATTAATGAATAGTTAAGATATTTTTTGTGATATCTCATTTGCTAGATTCATTTGTCAACAAGACATTGAACATTGCATCTGATATCAAAAGTCACCAACTGATTATTGACGGTGAGAAAGCATCGGATGGTCACTGGAGATCGTTATTCGGAACACACGAGATTCTAAACTATACAAAGTTTGAAGATGGGTATACGGCCTCCACTGGAAGAAGAATATACATGTCACCTACGACCTTCCTAGATTTGAAAGAATACATATGGAAAGCTGGATCTCTTAATACCTATAAAAAGTCTGTGTTTTGTCAGTATCAACCCTAACATGGAAGGAATAAATTTAAAACATTTTGTACCATAAAATAGGTGCATGCTTCGAAGAAAACTAAAGTAAATGAATGGAAAATAGTGAACTAAAATGAAACGACGAAATAGAAATTTGAGTGCGTCTTTGCCGTTATTGTTGTATGCTTTTCTTGAAAGGAATTCAAAAACACCTCACAATTGAAGTTTTTCAATCTCTGTAAAAGGTCATAAATGTAAAACATGATAAAATCAAATACACAGTATTTGCATATCAAAAATTTGATATTTATTTAACCAAATTTCAGTTTAAAGATACCATTGATCTCACATGCAAAAAAGGAAAATGCATAAATATAAAATTTATAAAATTAACCGCAAAATATATCAAATTATGAAAATTGTCAACATTTGCACGAGTAAAAAAAATTGAAAAAATAAAACTACATGTAAATGTATATTAAATTAAAGCCATAATTTTATTTAATGCACTAACATGTTAATTTACAAAACATAAATATTATATAAATCAAATATTGCAAGTCGATTTTTCAGCTTCAGTTTGGAAGCTCCTGCGAAGACTGGAAGAGACTTTCGTTAGAAATTTACGTTGAATAATTGTGTAAATTAAAATTTTGCAGAAAAGCGGGGATATATTATTAATAGTGATGAGAGTATCTATCTTTTGATCCATCACCCATTCGCTACTCTAGAGGGGGAGTCATCCTTATTCACAACTTTTCCTACATCCTCTGATTGAAATTTGAGGAAACTATCACCAAATATTTATCATATAGTGGCGGGTTTGCAATAGCAAAACTTGGAATTGTCCTAGCTTGGATCTGAAAATAATATTTTCCCCATTTATTTCTGGGTTTTTTTTCTAGAGCAAATATTTTAAATTTGGAAAGATTATCATATAATTCAAATACCTATAAATCAAATAGACATTAAATGGTTCTTTGACAAAGGGAAACATAATTCTGATCTAAGAAGTGAAGATAATAGATGTGAATGTTAAATTGTTAAATAAAATAGGAATTGAAAAATCTGGTTTCATATTGATAATCAAGGTGTTTCAGAGATTTATAACTCGTAAACATAAACTATAATCTGTACATTTTACTACTGGGTATACGTCATAAGTTTTATAAGGTAATTTTTTGTAAAATCAATGTTTCAGGTCCATTGGTGACATGTTTTAATTGGCTTTTGAAGATGGGAAACGGTTTGCCAAGCACAGATTTTCTAAATTATCATGTGTTTACGCAGATAATTCTGATTCAACCCCTTGGTATTTACATTATATTTGCTGATATAGAAATATGAAAATGCTGTAAACATTAGTGAAT